ATGGCCTTTTTTCGGCGCCGCCTCGGAACTCGATTTTCCGGCGCCCGGGCGCCGGCTCGGGCGCCGACCCGGGCGTCCGGCCCGGGAGCCGCTCTCGGCGGCGAGCAAGAGCACCGAGCCCGAGTAAAAAAGGAGGAAGTCTCGAGCCGGAGCGTTGTTGTTGTTGGGGGGCCGGTTTTGGCGGAACCCCAAAACGCCTGAGCGTGAGCCTCAAGAGCCGCCGGCGCCTCGGCGAGAGCGCCAGGGCGAATATATATATACTAATAATTGTTTATACAACAACAACAACAACAACAACAACAACAACAACAACAACAACAACAACAACAACAATTACTAGCACGTGGGGACACTCCGTTCTCACCAGTGCCAGGGTTTTCATAGGAGGCGGGCAATACCCCCACTTTGTGGGGGGGCCGGTTCAAGCTCTACCAAATTTCCAAACGACTCTTCGCCACCACCCACACCCAGCTTCCCGCCCTATGACGTTCGGACACTTCACTTCGTGGCATGCGGACGACCGTGGCTACTATTCAGGGCCCCGCGGCCGACGACGACGGCGTGCGCGCGCGAAGAAAAAACGAATGTGTCCCGCATGGTATTATTTGACAGGGATGATGGCCCTGGCAGGTGCGCAACCGTTGTCGCAGAAGTTCGAAAAAGTTGCTCGCAAAAGCCCGTTTGACAGAAATGTTTAAAAAGTGTTGGGTTTCCTACGAATCCGCAAGAGCGCGCGGGATGAGATTTTGACATTTTTTTGTTGAAAAACCATTGGTTTTTTGATGTTTTTATGTTAAAATCGCTGCGAACACTAAGGTTTTGGAAGGATTTCGTCTTGCGCGCGCGAATGTCTACTTTACCTTATTTTTTGCAAGGGATTCTTGAAATTTGATTATATTAGAACAAGAAATGTCATTTTCTATTGTTTTTTGCAAGGGAAAGCGGATTACAACAAAACAACCGGATCCTGTACACACCCTCTTTTCTGAGGCTTCCTCACGAAAATGATGAAAATGTAGCTGCGGCCTAGGCGGCGCAGGGGGGGCGCGCACCAGGGGGCCCAACAATAATTATTCTTTAGAATAAATAATGTTCAACAACAACAACAACAACAATTACTAGCACGTGGGGACACTCCGTTCTCACCAGTGCCAGGGTTTTCCATACAATACCCCCACTTTGTGGGGGGGCCGGTTCAAGCTCTACCAAATTTCCAAACGACTCTTCGCCACCACCCACACCCAGCTTCCCGCCCTATGACGTTCGGACACTTCACTTCGTGGCATGCGGACGACCGTGGCTACTATTCAGGGCCCCGCGGCCGACGACGACGGCGTGCGCGCGCGAAGAAAAAACGAATGTGTCCCACATGGTATTATTTGACAGGGATGATGGCCCTGGCAGGCGCGCAACCTTTGTTGCAGAAGTTCGAAGCACGTGAAAAAGTTGCTCGCAAGAGCCCGTTTGACAGAAATGTTGAAAAAGTATTGGGTTTCCTAAGAAATCCGCAAGAGCGCGCGGGGTGAATTTTTGAAACCCTTTTTTTGAAAAACCATTGGGTTTTTCATGTTTGTATGTGAAAATCGCTACGAAGACTAAGGTTTTGGAAGGATTTCGTCTTGCGCGCGCGAATGTGCACTTCGTGTCATTTTTTGCAAGGGATTCTTGAAGCTTGGTCATGTTAGAACAAGAAATGTCCACTTTGCCTTATTTCTTGCAAGGGAAAACCGATCGTAACAACACAACCGGATCTGGACCAACCCGTTTTGCCTGAGACTTCCTCGCGAAAATAATGAAAATGTGGCTGCGGCCTAGGCGCGGCGGGGGGGGCGTGCACCAGGGGGCCCAACAATAATTATTCTTTAGAATTAATAATGTTCAACAACAACAACAACAGCAACAGCAACAGCAAGAGCAGCAAAACCAATACCAACACCAACACCAGCACCAACGCCAACATCACCAACACCAACACCATCACCAACACCAACACCAGCATCAACACCAACACCAACACACATCACACCAACACCAACTCGAACAACAACAGCAACTGCAGCAGCAACAACAACAGCAACAGCAAAAACAACGGCATCAGCAACAACACCACCAACAACAACAACATCAGACACAACAACAACAGCAACAACAACAACAACATCAACAACACAATAACCAAACACAATACCAAGCACAACAACACCAATACCAACAACAACAACGACGACAGCAACAGCAACAGCAACAGCAACAGCAACAGCAACAGCAACAGCAACAGCAACAGCAACAGCAACAACAACAACAACAACATTACCAACAACAGCAACAACACCACCACCAACAACAACACACACACGTCACATAATTGTTCGGAACTCAGCGCGGATTTCTCGCTCCGGCTCTGGACCTCTCTTGCGGCGCCCCCAGCACCGCCCCTGGAGCGCTCCGCGCTCCAAGAGGGGGGGCGAGCGCCGATCGAAGAACTCCGCGCGGAACCCACTCCGAGAAGTCATGGCCACGCCGTGTTTTCATCTTCGAGAAACTTCGCATATCTTACTTTGCGTGGTTTGCGTCTTGGCCGCGTGGGTTGGGCAGCCGGCTTTGGGCTGGGCCTGGCCAAGTTTGGATTCGGTCGGGCATGTCCTCCTACAGGCGGGCTTTGGGCTAAAAACGAGAAGTCGCACAACAAGATTCCGAATTTGACAAATGTAAAAGGAACATCGTCCCCCGACTTTTCTGTTTGTTGACTACACCCTGCGAAATGCTTAAGAAATCATGGGTTAAGAAATTCAGAGTCTCAGAATCTGAATAAAAACCCAGACTTTATATGAACATCTTAGGATTTACATGGAAACATTAAGAATAATCGAGCCTCTGGCCGAAAACTTAGGTTTTCTTAAGCATCGCCGAAGGTGTACTTTCGAATACTCCTCCTGTAGAGGGACATGCTCGACTGAGAGTCTGGACCCTGGACTCTCGCCTCCGATGGCTCCAGCAGCGGAGCTCCACTCCTGATGGATCCGGGGGCTCTCGGCGGAGCGCGCAAGGGGGCTCAAGGATCGGGGGCGCGCAACCATGGACTAGCGATCCATGGATTTGGCGCGCAGTCAATCCATGGAACGGGGGAGGTGCCCTCCCAGAAATCGGGCCGGCATCGTCCCCCGCTCGGCGGCGGGCATCCGCGATTGCCCATGGAAACGGGACCCGCCGCCAATCCACGCCCCGTTGATCCATGTTTGCAATCGCATGACTTGAAGAGGCCGCCGCCTCTGGGAAGGCGTCCGGGCTCCCCCCCCCAATGTTTCCTCAGAAGGCCGCCCCTGTCTCCTGGCCTCCCCTTTTTGGTCAGCAGCCGCAGGCGAGAGCGCAAGCGGCGAGCCGAGTCAGGGCGGGCCGCGCAGAGACCAATTACCCAAAGCTGGCGGGGCCTCCCGACCTCCTCGCGCGGCGACAGAAATCGAGAGCGGGATCTGCAATTGCTGGGCCTCCGAGAGGCCTCCGAGAGGCCCGAGACCCCGAGAGCGTTCGGCCTCCGAGAGACCCCGAGGCCCGAGAGGCCTCCCGAGGGGGAGAGTGTTCGGCCTCCGAGAGGCCCCTTTGCTGTGGGCCCTGGGACCCCAGGAAGGGGCCCGGACGCTCGAGGGGGCCACATTTGCGAGCAGAAGGAATGTGGGCTGTCTGGGTCGTCGGACTTGTTTCACGCTCAGACTTGTTTCGCGATCGGGCTCTCAGACTTGTTTCGCGCTGGCGCCACGAACTTGCCCGATGGCGTCTACGTTTGAGTCACAAGTTTTTACAACAGGAGTCCCGTACAATACCTGCACTGGAGGGTCTCACTCGCTTTGCTCAGTAGTCAGCACGCGGTTGCGGGTTTTCGCCTGGTGGCCGCCATGTGCCGAACCGTGCGCTGGTTGGCGGCTCCACCGCCACGCACCAGCGGCCAGCCTGGGGGGGAAGTGAGAAAGGGCGGGCCTTCTCGGAAGGCTCGGAAGTCCGCTGAGAAATGCTCTACGCCTTCCCCGAAGACACGGGCGCCCGTCGCCGCCGCGTGCACCGCGCACCTCGTGATAGGGTGAGCGTGTCCCCCTACAGGCGGATTTTGGACGAACAAAACTAAACTAGTCAGAACATGTAAGAAAACTCAAAAAAAATCGTCCCCATACGAGTTTTTGTGAACTAGTTTTGGATATTCCTCCTGTAGAGGGACAGGCCCGACTTAAACCTTGCACCACACGTCCCGCACCAAGCAGACTGCATCACAGGTGCTGCATCGTTCGGCGGCGAGCGCGGGGGGGAGCTTCGAGACTCGAGCTTCGGGGTGTTCGGGCGTTGTCGTAGTTTCTTGGCAATCTTAACTTCCACCCTCAGGATGCGTTCCAGCGGCTGCGCCTCGCCGAAGGCGTTCTGGGGGTGTCGGGATCGTCCCGAACGGCCGCCGGAGACCCGAGTTATGATCCGAAAGCCGCATTCGGCGGCGAGCGAGAGGGGGGGAAAAGAGAAGGAGAAGGCTTTCTCATAAAGCGGCGGGGCTTCTCGGAAGTCCTCGCGCCTCCTGAGAAGCTTCCCGCGCCTCCGGGGAAGGCTTAGACAGCTTCTCAGAAGGCGGGGGGACTTCCGAGCCTTCTGAGAAGGCCCGCCCCATTTCACTTCCCCCCCTGGGCTCGCCGCCGCACGCTGCATCCTAACAGATTCAGCCCCACGGATTGCGCACCAAGGCCTGAATGACCCCCATGCTGGGGCTCCACACTGACAAGCACAGGCATTTCGCAGGTGCTTTCGTAGGCTTAGATATCTGCGGCGTTGCGGGTGCAGAAGGGGAAATGCTGAATGGGAGCAGGGGAGTCGGCATCGTGGCCATGCTGCGGGCCGCAAACCTTTGCGACTGAGCCCTATCAGGGGCGAGTGAGATAGAATCGCAAGCATGCACGGAGTAGTGCGTGCATGAGCAGAGAGAAGCGCATTCGCAAAGACGCCTTGTCATCGCTGTATGTTACGAAATCCTTGTCGTACGGACCATGGTGCGACACGACCTGCACGGGAACGCGCGGCACTTCTCCCACCTTCCCGCGAACCCTCCTCCTCAGGCGCCCCGGCGCCCAAACAAGAATTAGCCACGTCGCAATCGAGCCATTCGTCGCAGTCGCACCTCTTAAGCCCACTCCCCCCGATTGCTTCCTCGGAGGGGCGGAGGGGAGGGGGGGGTGCCGGGGGAGGGCACGCGGGGAAGGGGACTTGGGGAAACCAAGAGGTACCGTTACCGCTGCTCCCCGGACCTCTCCCCGGGCGCGTCCTGACCAGGATCTTCGAGGCGGATCCAGCGCCGGCGACGAGGGCCTCCCCCGAGGCCAAGCAAGAGACCGGCGACGCCGAGGCCGGGGCAGCGGTGTGGGTGCCTCTCCCCTCCTTTGAGGCTTGGCCGTGGGCGGGGGGGCCCGAGGGCCAACAATCTGGGCGAGGAGGAGGAGGAGGAGGAGGAGGAGGCGCGGCGGCGGCGAATCGGTGTCGGGCCGAAGGTCGATAAAAGAAACTCGACTATATCAATCATCAGAGAGCTGCTCAGACGATTGCGACCTACCGTGCGTGCCTCATGCGAGGACGGATCGAAGACGGCTCCCCTAGGCCGGGAGCCACGAGGGGCACTCGCTCAACCACGGCTGCGTAGTGAGCAGAATAAAAAGTTGAAGTTTGGGCCCAGGGCCAGAGAGACGGACCAGGACCCCGGGCAAAGGAGGCCCAGGGACCGACAGGCCCCGAGGGGCCGTCCGCGGAGCTCAAAAACGCGTGGCCATCCTAACTAGTTCCTTAAAGGAGTACACTCGCTCAGGAGGAGGGGACGCAGGAGGAGGAGGAGGAGGAAGAGGGGAAACAACGGCGGCAGCAGCAGCCCCCGCCTCATGTACGTCACTCCGTCGACGGGGAAACTCAGTCGTCGCGGTATTTCCAAGAGAAATCTGGGACGCTCCAGCCACCGAGGACGATGTCATCTGAGGAGTCGTCGCACTCTGCACGGTAGCCCCCATCTGAAAATCATAGGGTAAAATCTGAGGCGACATCGCACTCTGGGCACCAGCAGCCTCAAGTCGACTCTCTTTCACGCCTCGAATTCGTCGATGGCCAATTGTAAGATTCTCTCCGTGTTCGTCCTCGGCGCAGTGCCTGGTTTGAGTTCGCCCCCAAGCTGCTTCATGCACTCGATGAATACGCGGGTCAGGGAAATCTCCGAGAAGGCGAACGTAATTTTGGCCACTCCCTCTTTGAATGCCAGCGATACTCTGAATGCACGCACCAAGAGATTCATTTCTGCGATGTCCGTAATCTGATCGATCTTTCCCTGTTGTTCGGTCCACGCTTTCTGGTTCATGGCTCCGACTGACACGCCCGCGGCCACGAGCTCCTTGCAGACCAGCAGAAATATTTGGACACAGGCTGGGCCCATGCCGACCTCTGGCAGGGGCTGGGACGGGTCTTTGGCGTGGGCCTCCCTCATCTGTGTTGCCTGCACCGCGTAGGCCCGACCCCCTTTGAAAGCTGCCACCACCACTGGAGCCGCCTCGTCGATCAGGATCGTGTTGAACGTCGCCGAGGCCAGCTGTCTGAGTTGGAATGAATTTCCGAGGGCGGCTCGAACAAGGACTGGAAATAGCTTTGCCATCAATTGCTGGTCCATCTGCGGTAGTTTCTGGATCACATCGTCGGGCAATCCGTAGGCGCGGCCCATCTCTTTCATCGCGGGACTGCCTGCGGCTGGAGCACCACCTGCGGCGCGCTGGAGTTGGCGCTGCTGTCGAGGTTCGGCGCTGCCGCGGCGCCTGCCACGCTGGCGGGAAGCCGCTGCCGAGCCAGATCGGCCTCGCCCCTTCGTCTTGGGCTGCGACGACCCTCGCCCCTTGGAACGGGAGCGCTCGGCCTCCTTGAGTGCGTCGTCGGTGAGCCGAAACATGGCCAGCGGGGGCGCGCACCGCAGAGTACAGGGGTTCTCTCGGAGCGTGTGTACGAAGATGCGCAAACAGCTCGGGCAAAGTACCGAACGGGACATCAACCATGCAGCAGAACTCGGCACTGTTTCCTCCGAAGGTCGAGCCGACCGTGAGGGACGCGAAGGGGCACTCCAGAGACTCGGGCTGAAGCACGGGGTGCTTGAAGGGGGACGCCTGCGCGAAGCATTGTCCTGACGACATGGCCTGGGCCAGGTGCTCCTGGGCGATGCGACGAGTCCGAAAGGTCTGCGCGCAGAATGTACATTTGTTCGTCACTACTGCCGCGTGAACCACCGAGCGGCACGCATGCCCTCCATTCAGGGAGAACCTCTGGCGCGCGAGTAAGGCCCTCCTGGTACGAAAGGTCTTACCGCATTCCACCCCCGTAGAATCTTTGAGCTCACATCTCCAGATCGCCTCTGGGGGCGGAGGGACCTCGGGGTCGCCAGGAGCCTCAGGAGCAGCGGGCCCGTAGAGGCCAGGCGGTGGTGGAATGGCGACAGTCCTCGCAGCAGCCCGAAGAAGCCCAGGATCGAGTGCCAGGAAGCGACCCCGAAGAACATCATCCAGAAAGAGTGCCCGAATATTCAGACGCCTCTAAGACTCCGCCTGCCCATTGGGAACCATCAAGGACTCAGTAAGGTCCTCGGCCTCCGCGCGATCCAAGAGACTCACGATGTCCTGGGCGAAGCGCTGCGCATGCGGGTTGATCTTTGGCCCCAACGTGCCGTCATCGGTCACCGTCGGAGTGGGCTCGAGGGGGAGCTGGCCTAATACTGCAGCAAGCTCCTGAGGGTGAGAGGAAGGGCACGTGATCCATCTTCGATAAGTGCGAAGGCGCCGAACCCGAAGTTCAACCCCCGAGGGTGCAACACCGACTCTGCGAAGCACGGCTGCATCGGTCATCGCACGGTATCTGAGGATAGGTCCACCTGATTCGTCAACTCTAGGGTCCCCCTTTTCATCGAGAGCTGGGATCTTTGCACATGCATGCCCGCCTAAGAGCTCTCTCGCAAACCCAACAAGTACACGGTCGAGTCGGCCCTCCTGAGCCTCCGTCAAGATGAGAACCGTGAGGCCAGAGAGCAACGCACCCTGAACAACAGCTCCAAAAACTGTCCGAGTAAACCTCCACACTCTGTTCTGGGTCCAGAAGCGCCCCATCGAATAGTACCCCCTCCTGCAGGCTAGAATACGGCGTCTCAACTCTCCTTGCACCCCTCCGTTGATCGCCGTCTGGATCCCCAGGGCCACATTATCATATTGGACCTTACCTGCAACTCTGACGGAGCCTCCAAAGAGAGCAGCAGCATGAGCGTGCGCACCACGACCGACGAAAGACGGGGACACCGTGCTCTTGCCCTCATTGTGTACGTACCCACTCGGAGCAAGCGCCTGTGTAAGACCCCATGTGCTGTCTGGAGCGTGTACTGTGCATTGCGAGCAGATGAGACGATATGTGTTTTACTCGTATCATCAGCGTAAATTCGGCACGAGAGATCAACAGGTCGATGCAATATCGGCGTCCATGCTGTACAAAGAGCCTCGCTCGGCCAAAGTACTCGTGACCAGTCTGACGGTGGCACAGCAGGGACGAAGGGGGTATCCAACCATTCCTGATAACTCTGAGGTCGAGGTGGAGGGTCAGACTGCCACGTACGTGCACGAAGATCATCTAGCCAATCCTGCACTGGCCTGCGAAAGGTACGAGCGAAAAACACCGCAGAAGGGCTATCGCCCATGAAAGCACCGCATCTGTTGTGCATGGTTTGCTCCCCGTCGGCCCCCACGATCGTGGAGCTGCTGAACTCATGGCGATGATGAAAGAAGGCCTGCTCGGGCTCTGCGATGGAGGCCTCCACGGTACGCCTAAGTTCGGAAAACCTCGAGCACCCGAACGCGTTCGACATGTCCTCCTTGGATGTGACGGAGGACATCCCCAAGACTTTGAGCCTGCCCAAGAGTGCCTCTTGACAGAGAAGGGCCCCCTCTCTATTGCGCCCATGGTGGTACCCATGTTCCCTGTCGGGGACCTGATCAGGAGGACCTCGGAGCAACTGAGCTTTAAACCAAGTGACCCCCATTCGGCAGAGACCATGTATGTAGCGACGCGCCCCAAACCCCTCCTTCCCGTTCTGCTTGCCGAGGCCGGTGGCTCTGGAGTGGTGCCACACCAGGGGCACGCGCCCGACTCGCCTAATGTGATGGAAGACCTTCTGAATACCCTTGAGCGTGGCCTCATTCCTGAAAACCTCGGGCTCGGCTCCTAGGCCTCTGCGATCTCCAGCGAGCCTATGCCGTGGGGCAAAAGCTGGAGCCTGCGACGGGCCCTCCTCGTCGTCGTCGTTGTCACGATCCTTACGTCGGGGCCTCCGAAAGCTGCCGTCGAACCTGCGCTGAGGGTCAAGAGCCAGCTGGAGCACTTCAGAAGGTGCGCTATGAAGTGGGGCCGCCTTTCGGCGGGGGGCCCGAGCGAGCAACTCCAGAACCTTCTCGAGGTCCCCACGGCCGACCTCCACGTGGTAGAAATTATCGATGCCATACATCGGGGGCTTGGGGGCAACCTCAATCTGGGCCTGCTGGTACTCCAAAAAGTTGATCGGAACTGCCTCGAAACCTCCCTCAACAGCCGGTTTGGCGAAGTGGGTGCGGATCTCCTCAAGCCTCGGAGCGAACTCATCCATGGTGTCATACTTCCTGCGTTTAGGGCCCCCACATTTCCCTGCAAGCGCATGCGCAAGACGCCAAACTTCAGCGTGCAGCCTTTTCTTCCATGCAACTCCTATTTCGGATACAAGTTGTTCCGTCACCTGAGCTTGCCTAGATCTCCGCAAGTGACGCAAACGACGCGAGAGGCGAGCAAGTTGAAAAGACGTCTCGGTATCATCGTGTCCAGCTGCGCGTGCAGCCCGTCGCTCTGAAAGAAGCCGACTGCGCTCTGCTCCGAAGTTGCGAGTAGCCTCGTCGGTAACAGTGCTTCGTGAAAAATGGCGTTCGGCGACAGTGTAGACTGTGGTGACCCATTTAGCCCAACCCTCGTCGGGCGTCGGCGAATTCAGCATCATGTCATGAAAATCTACAGACTGAAAATGCTGCTCGAGTTCGTCCACGAACGCTCGAACCCCGTGGCCGTGCCGAAGAGCAGCGGCGAGGCGATCGAAATCCCAAGCCGTACCCGTGGGGGTAGACTCAGAAAGATCAAGTGCATAGTCGAGCCGAAGGAGAAGCGGAACGTGATCCTGCACGCCAGCTCTCTGTACAAGTTTCAGGCGTTGATTGGATCTCCGCATTGCAATACATCTATCCACCATTGAACGTTGCCAAGAGAAAGTTGCGATATAATCTATCTGCGACGTGCCGAGCGCACCGTGAAAGGTAGGTCCTAAATCAAAGTTCGTCGATATTACAGTGACAGCGTGTCGTTCAAGCACCTCCAAGATTCGATCAGCAGCATACCTCTGTTCACCTTCACGAAAGGGGCCGAGCGCAGGAGATTGAACGAGTTCACGCACTCCACCAGCCCGATGGCGATACCCAAAAGAATCATTGAGGTCGAACCCCCACAGTAGTGCAGAACGTTTCCGCGACCACGTGAGCGCACGCTCTATCCAGGAACATACAGCGTCTACGGTGTGTCTGTAACCTTTCTGTGCTTCAACACCCACAGACTCACGACCAATTCGGCGACTCGACGGCTTCGGAGGAAAGTAGGTGACTGGAATGAGTAGATCGAAACGACCAGAGCGCACACGATACACAGCGACTCGACCACGAAGCGATTCTGGAACTGGCGGCGCATCCACCACATGTTTCCGACGAAAGACGCGCCGCCGAAGGAGAAGAGTGATCCCACAAGAGCGATTGACATACTTACCTGCAACAAACCCGCTCCTAAGAGCGATGTGGTAACGTAACGTCGTGAACACCACAGCCCGGTCAGCGGGGGCCCTCTCGCACGTCCCTGTAAGTGCGACGACGTCCACATGCTTGAATTCCTAACTAATATCATGCAGCCGAGCCACATCCGCCGCCATACAGTTCCAGTGGACAAAAGTCAGCATGCTGGTCAACAAGGACACAGAGCAAGCATAACATTGGACACAAGATGTAAGCGGAGGAAGGCTGGCCTAGGGGAGCCGCCAGCCTTTAGCACGAGGTACGGTTCTCGGGAGGCTGCATGCAGTCCAGCCCCAGTGCAGGAGATTCCTGAGCGCGGGGGGCTAGGAGGAGGAGGAGGAGGAGGAGGAGGAGCAGGAGGAGGAGGAGGAGGAGGAGGAGGAGGGAGAGAGGGCGACGCCGGGGCGGCGGTCGGCTCACTCGGGGCCTGTGCTGGGGCCTGCTTCGGGGCCGGCCCTGCCAGGGCTGCGGGCCGACGGGCGCGGGGAGGCCTCCCTGCAGAAGCGCACGGCCGGGAGCACCGCCCGCGAGCGCCCGTCACGTGGCCAGGCCTATGACGCAGCGCAGCTGTTGCATCGATCGGGGCTGGACTGGCCCAAATCCTGCTTCCGCCGCGTCCTTCTCAGCCGCATCGTCGTCGTCACCCGAATCGTCGACGCACCATCACCCTGACGTCATCCCCTCGTCTGGACCTGCCCGCACCTCTCCAAGCCAGAGAAAACGGTGACCACAACAGAAAACATCAATACGGCTTCTGCTAGCTCTGGTTAGACAGTGACCGAATTCCATGCTGCACCCACGCTGCCCAAAATTGTCCATACTGGCTTGATCAGAAACGGCATCTTCATGATCATCCTGCTCCTGCTGATCCCCTTCCTCCTCCAACTCCGCCACTGCTGAGGCTCTTCGGTATAATCTCGCGCGCGTGCTGCCTCGCACAAGACGACACAACCCAAACTGAATAATTCAACCCTTGCAGAATCATGCAGACACGAGCCGACCAATAATCGCTTGATCTCCGAAGTGGAGCCGTTCGACTTGGAGCTCTCGTCCTGGCATGATGGGCGTTGGCGACAAGAAGCGTCACCGAAAGCGGGTCGGCAGAATCGTTGCGGCGATGCGTGGGGTAGCTCCGCACCTGCTGTCGACATATACGCAAGAATGCCAATCAGCTTGAGAAACACATAGACAGCAATAACAAGAAACTGGTAATGCATCGTCGGCAGGGCTGTTCGGCAAAACTAGGGAATCTGCATTGAACGATTCTGGCAATCTCCGTGTAACTGGTCAGGAAGAATGCTTATCCGAGACCACGGAGTGTGGGGACACGGAGACCCCTTGCGCACCAATCACGCACACGCACACACGCCCACACATGCTTACCCACGCGCGCACAACGCTAGGATCATCTGCAGCAGCACATTATCCTGGGCATACCTTCTCCTAACCTGAACAAGCAAAAAATCCCGACGATGGCTTGCTGTTAGATATAAGATCACTAGCACGATTGGGGAAGAGCAAGGGTAGAGAGGGAGGAAAGAGGGGAAGCAGTACGAAGAGGAGGATGAGGAGAGGGAGAGGGACGCGGATGAGGGAGGGGAGGAGGGGGCGAACGAGAGAGGACGGTGTGGAGGATGTGGATTGCTTTGAAAGGTTCCGGAGGTATCTGGTTTAGGAGGAGGAGGAGGAGGAGGAGGAGGAGGAGGAGGAGGAGGAGGAGGAGATATATATATATATATATATATGAATATATGAACTTTTGCAGGTCCGCGCAAAGCGCGGACTTCCTGGATAGGCGCTGGCCCCCCTCCCTGGCGGAGCGCGCCAGGTCCGGGATGGAGGTGCTGCCAGGGCGGTCCAACGCCGATCCATGAAATCCGCGCAGAACCCTGAACGTTTCTGTTTGTGCCGCTTTGCCTTCTTCAAGGAACACCTCCAAGAGCCGACGGCAACCTCCAAGATCGGGCATCAGCAGGACTGGGTTTAGTGGGACATGGTTTAGCGGTGTGTTTGGGACGCCTCCCCCACCCGTGCCACTTACTGTGCAACCGTCGCCCGAAAACACGGAAACTACGGCAGTCCTGGTTTCGTGATTCTGGCGTATTTGTTGGCTTTGGGGCCCCATCGCTGACGGGCTGCCCCTACCAGGGGACCTGGCGATACCCAACAAGAGTTAGGTCGGGCATGTCCTACTACAGGCGGATTTGGGACGAAAAATCAAACAATATCCCAAACATGTTCAAACATACTAACAAAGATCGTCCCCTGACTATTTTTGGACAATTTTTGAACATCCCTCCTGTAGAGGGACATGCCCGACTTCAGACAAGAGCCAGCCAACACGTTCGAAGAGCGGCGAGAAGCGCCCGACGAGTCCGCGGCGATACGCGCGCAGGGGGAGTCCGTCAGGGCCACCTCGATGCCGGCGCCGGGACCTGGCCGCGGCGGGGGTGCGCAAGGCCCCCGTGCGGAGGAGCGACGCAGATGCGCGGCATCTCACCCGAGGCCTCCCGCACGGGGCCCGAGCACAGGTGGGGCCGCAGGATCGCGCCGCACCGCCGAGGCATCGGCAGCGTCGGCGGTGCACCGGCGCCGCCGGGGTGGAGAGCATCGGGCCCCGCATCGAGCCGCACCGCCGATGCCTCGGCGATGCGGTGCTATCCTCCGACCCCAGCTGCTCCGCTCCCATCTGAGCGTCCTGGACCCTCCTCCTCCTCCTCCTCCTCCTCCTCCTCCTCCTCCTCCTCCTCCTCCTCCTCCGGGTCTTGCGCGCGATGGCATGGCGATCTTGCGCGGTGGCTCACCTGGGCGGCTAGCGTGACACGCCACGCTTGAGCGAAGGCGCTTGCGCTTGCGCCTACACGCGGGCAGCCGACGCGCCACCGCCCGTGAGGGCGAACGCGTTCTTGGGCGTCGCTCCAATGGGATCCGAATAATGCCCAGACCCCATCGCGTCGCGAAAAAATGCGGATGGACGGTGTTTGGCAATTATCGTTCTCTGGGGGCCCTCGGCAAGCCCCAGGACCGTCGAACAGCAAGGCTCGGGATATCCCGCCGAGGAGGGGGGGTCCAGACCTCTGGGGGTCCACTTCGAGAACACAGCACGGCATTGGGGCCAGTGCAGATTGGGAAACAGGATCCGCGCCGCACCGCTGCTGCATCGGCGACGTCGCCGCTGCACCGGCGACGCAGACGCGGAAAAGTTCAGTTCCCACATCGAGCCGCTTCTTGGGCAGGGTTCGACCGTCCCAGCATTCAAATAAGCCTACAACGAAATGTTCGTAGAACACAGGAGAATTCTAAGAACAGGAACAGGTGATCGTTTTCTTTTTCGGCGTTTCGACACTGGGCAGAAGGAGGGGGGGAGTGGGGGGGGTTGGCTCTGGACCTCTGCTTAACGCGGCTGTTTGCAACAGGGCGCCCATTATGGGGGAGACTCCACCTGCTCGAAGCAGGCGCCCCATACAGCCAAGATCCACTCCATGGGGGGGGGAGGAGGGGTGCGATACCCGCGCCGATCGGCAAAACAATGAACCAAGAAGATCACCAGTGGTTTTAGAACAGAACGCCGTTTGATTAAACCAATACTGTCTCAACCAGAACTCTTCTAAGAGGACATGAACCATCCCTCATAATAAACACTTCCACAAGCGAATCCGTCAAGTAAACGCACCCAAGGCAGGAATCGAGCAGGGCATGGCTGTTTAACAAACGCCCATGGCCATTTCGCAAACGCCAATCATGAGGATCGGGGTGAGTGTTTTTTCCTCCCTTGATGCAGGCGATTCAGGACGCGTCGCCATTGCTTGAGCTTCGCCGATGCATCGGTAGAGGCCCCAAGAAGCCCCCAAGAGGCCCCAAAGAGGCCCCACAACGGCCAACTAGAGGCCTCAAAACTGCCGCCAAGAGGCCCACGAGAGGCTCCCCACGAGATCCCAGCGAATATCCAATGGGCTTCGCACCCACAACCCAAGCACGGTGGCAGGATGGGCCGACCGCCATTACCATTAGATCCGCCACCGTGCCACTGGGCACGGAGTGGGCGTGTCCTCAGGTCCTGGGCCCAATCCGCCTCGCTCCCCACGCCTGAAAAATCGGCGGTGGACAAACCTCCCTTTAGTAAACCTCCCCTTGATGAAAACGGCCTGGGACCGAGACCGACGAACCTGGACCCGCAAAAATGACGGCCGCGACGCCCTCTCGCGAACCGAAAACGGCCAATTCCTCAATCGACGTGACAGGGTAGGAGGTCTATCCACCTCCGACAAAAATCTTTCAGGGGCCCGCGACCCCTCGCTCTCAAATCTCCCGGGGGCTTCCCCTGTGCCCCCCTACAGGGCTTCCCGCGTGCCCCCCTGGGCTTTGCCAAGGCACGGCGGCGGCATGGGCCGCAGGCCCCTACCGTCCGATACGGGCGAAACCCTGCGTTTGGAAGCAGACCGCGTCGCCACCGCTTGAGCTTCGTCGATGCATCGGCGATGCGGCGCGATCCGGCGGCCCCGTCCGCTTCGCACCCCCTCGGGCGGCCTGGCCCTCCGCCCCCTCTGCCGCGCAGCCCAGCCTGGGCCCGCTCCCCTGCAGGCCTCCCCCACCGGGTTCGAGGGCGTAGGCACGGGGTCGGAGGATCGCGCCGCATCGGCAGTGCATCGCAGATGCATCGGTGATGCATCGACGACGCCAGCGATGCCTCGGCGACGTCTGCGTTGAGAACATCGGGCTCCGCACGGAGCCGCACCGACGATGCACCGGCGGTGCGGCGCAATCCTCCGAACACGTCGGTCGGAAGAGGTAGGTAAGAACCTGAAGTAGGAAGGGAGATATAGAGCAGATTGGATTCAGGCCCTCCCAGAGAACAACGAGACACAACACCAGCATCTCGATTCTTGAAGTAGGAGGGCGCTTGAAGCAGATTGGATCTGGGAGCCCAGAAACGCCTGCCTTCAACGACCAGCGTGTACGGCAAGTTCGTGTCGTGACGCTCGGCGTTGGTTCCTGACACCGAGGGGATCGTTCAAGCTTGAACGGTCGGCCGTTCCGAGAATGGGCCACGGGCGGCGTTCAACCTTGAACGCGCGCACTGGGCCTCGCCGCCAGTCGGCGCGACGCGAACCTAGCGTACTGACCCTGCCCGGGAGGCCCGGATCCCCTCCGCCCGCGTTTTCCCTCTCCTGGGCGCCCCGCAGGCCCGAGGCGAGTCTCCGGAGCAGGGGAGTGGCCCAGACCTCAGGTCGGGCATGTCCCCCATACAGGCGGCTTTTGGAGGAGAACTCACACATAGCCAAAGCATGCTCCAAACTGCTCCAACAAGAATCAAACAAAAAGTCGCCCCCCTACGATTCTCTGACTATTTTGGGATAGTCCTCCTGTAGAGGGACAGGCACGACTGAAGCCCAGACCTCCTCGCGCCGTCCGGAAAGCACGGCGGGAGATGCTTGTCAACCTTCGGCTGAGGGGCCTTTCGCCGGGGCCCTGGGGCTGGGGTTAGGTCGGGCATGTTTCCCTATAGGCGGATTTTGGATGGAAAAAATATATACCCCAAACAAATGCTTAAAAACACGTCAGAAATAATCGAAATTACACCTGAGAAAACCCCAATCAGTGGATGATTTGAGAATTGATACTATGGATCTTGAGATCGATTGTGACATCGATAATGAGATCGATAGTGGAATCGATAGTGAGGACGATGGTAAGGTCGATCGTGAGACCGAGAACGACATCGATTCAATGAGATCTATAGTGAGATCGATCGCGAGATCGCTCATCCGATCTCTAGTGAGATCGCTTGTGAGATTGATAATGAGATCGATTGTGAGATCGATCGGGAAGTCGGTAATGAAATCGACGGTGAGACCGATCGATAAGAAGATCGACCAGGAACCCGGGAACCCGAGAACCTCGCCGCCCTCCGAAATCGGCCCGGAACCCGAAATCGGCCCGGAACCCGGAAGCGGGAACCCAGGAACCCGGAACTGGGAACCCAGGAACCCGGGAACCCAGCGTGCGACCAAAATCGGCGGGGCACTTTCGCCAAATCCTTCAACATCCGCGAGGACCCCTTCAGTGCAAGCACTGATTGGGGAAAATCGTCCCCTGATCATTTTTTGACTATTTGGGCATATTCTTCCTGTAGAGGGACAGGCCCGACGTAAGGCTGAGGATAAGAAGGCGGTCTCTCGGGGAAGGGGTCCGGCCCTCTGGGGAGCCATCGTGACGGAGCCGCGACGCCAGATGCTTGCATGGGAGGGGCGGGGAGGGGGAGGATGAAACCGAAGAAATCTCAAGCTGTGGATGCGTAACTTTTGAATGCCTGGCTCTAGTTCATGTCAAAGAAGGACTTCTAGATTCGAGCCTCGGTGGCTACGGAAGCGCAAACCATGCATGCATGTACACGTGCACTTGTTTTTTTTTTTAATCATTTTTTCCTACATCCTTAGTGGGGTTATGGTTTTCTTCCTTGCTGCGTCGCACCCGCGTCTCCTTCCTCCCTTCCTCCTCCTTCCTCCCTCACCCACGCGAAACACATGCACGGCATATACATGAGACACGCGTGTACATACAGCCTCTCGCATGCACACGTTCGCATACACATACACCATACAACGCAAGTGCACGCCTGGCGTGTAGGGTCGGAGAGCGTGGCAGGCGTGGCACTTTCTCGACACAGACGGGGTGTGCAAGGGGTGGTCTCTCAGCGCGGCCTCTATGCGTGCCAGGGTCGGAAAGCGTGGCAGGCGTGTCACTGTCTTGGCGCCACAGGGGGTACGCAAAGGGTGGTGCCTCACCGCGGTCTTCATCCGTCTCAGGGTCGCGGGGCGCGGCAGGCGCGGCACTTTCTCTACACCAGAGGTGGTGCGCAGCGGGTGGTCCCTCACCGCGGTCTCTATCCGTCCTCGGGTCGCGTGGCGTGGCAAGCGTGGCACTTTCTCCACACCGCAGTGGGTGCGCAAGAAATGGTCCCTCACCGCGGCCTCTATCCGTCGCAGGGTCGCGGGGCGTGGCAGGCGTGGCACTTTCTTTCTCCGCGCCACGGGGGGTGCGCAGGGGGTTGCGGGGCGTGGCAGGCGTGGCACTTCTTTCCACACCACAAGGATGCGCAGTGGGCGGTTCCCCACCGCGGTTTCTACCCGTCCCAAGGTCGCGGGGCGCGGCAAGCGCGGCACTCCGTCTCAAGGTCGCGGGGCGTGACAGGCGTGGCACTTCTCCACTCCACGGAGGGTGCGCATGGGGTGGTCCCTCACCGCGGTGTCGATTCGTCCCAGGGTCGCGGGGCGTGGCAGGCGTGGAACTTTCTATACGCCGCAAGGGTGCGTAGGGTGTGGTTCCCCACCGCGGGGCGCGGCAGGCGCGGCACTTCTCTCCACACCACAAGGGGGTGCATAGGGTGTGGTCCCCCTCCGTCGTCTCTATCCGTCCTGAGGTCGCGGGGCGCGGCAGGCGCGGCACTTTCTCCACACCACAGGGGGTGTGTAGGGGGAGGTCCCTCACCGCGGCCCCTATCCGTCCAAAAGGTCGCGGGGCGCGGCAGGCGCGGCACTTTCTCCACACCACAGGGTGTGCGCAGGGGGTGGTCTCTCACCGCGGTCTCTGTCCGTCCCAGGGGCGCCGGGCGTGGCAAGCGCGGCACTTTCTCCACACCACGGGGGGGGCTTAGGGTGTTGCCCCCCTCCGTCGTCTCTATCCGTCCCAGGGTCACGGGGCGTAGCGGGCGCGGCACTTTCTCCACACCAGAGGTGGTGCGCAGCGGGTGGTCCCTCACTGCGGTCTCTATCCGTCCCAGAGTCGCGGGGCGTGGCAGGCGTGGCTCTTTCTCCACACCACAATCCGTCCCAGGGTCGCGGGGTGCGGCACGCGTGGCACCTTCTCCACACCACAGGGGGTGCGCAGGGGGTGGCCCCTGCGCTCGTCACATTATTGCGCGCGCGAAATTCACCATCTTCACCAACACCATCGTCATCATCATTGCCATTCTCATCATTGCCACCGTCACTGCCAAGGCTTGACAGGCGTCACCAACGGTATCGGCGGGGCAACGGCCAGCAGCATCATTGTCGCATTTTTCACTTCAGATATCATCACGCCAGACATATTATAAGTGTGTAGGGTTCCTCGCTAGCGTAATGTTATCACACTTGGCAAGAGGCTTACAGTCGAAGCATGCCCGCAAGAACGTTGATCGAGATCACGAGCCCTGTCGTCGAAGGCCCAAGGCTTAATACGCAGATAACCCGAACGAAAGACGCTGTAGCGTAGCCCAGTCGCGAAGAACACCTTTCCAAAGCTGGGGTGGTTTTCTTCTTGACTCTCGCGCCCCAACTGTAGGGGCAGAGGAAAGGACGGGAGGGAGGGGAGGAGTTCCTTTTTTGCCATTCTGGGTAACGGTCGTTACCCGTGCGGGGGGGAGGGGCCCTGGGGTGACGGTAACGCTTGGGCGGGCTGGGGCGTTACGGTTCTGTGGGGTGGGTGGAGGGGGCGGGGGTGGCCCGGGTAGCGACCGCTGCGCGCCGGAGGATAACAGCAACTTTCTTTGAGGGGGGCGGCATGCGAAGTCCTGATCATCTCAGCACGCGGTCCCTGGAAGTCTCGACCCTTCTTTCCCCAGGACAAGCTTTTCAGCCCAGTCCGTTCTTTCACGGTCCCGGGGCCCGGCAAGGGTCCCCAGAGGCCGAAAACGGGTGACATCCAGTCCAGACTTCGTTCCACGACGCGGGCCCATACATGCTCGCGTCGTGAATTGAACCGGACGGGACATTCTCCAATTTTCGGCCTCTGGGGCCCTTCCCGGGCCTCGGAGCCGTCAAAGAACTACCACGATGAAAGACTGGCCCCCCTGGGGGGGACGGGCGGGGACTTCCGGGAACCCCGTATGGCAAAATCCAGGCCATCGCATGTCTGGTGCTCTGACCCCTGAGCCGCCCGCCCCGTCCTTGTTTTCCTCTGGCCGCGTCCCTCCTACCTCCTCCTCTTGCATGGTGGCCTAATCCGCTCCAACGGAACCCCCGCTTATGCCTCTCATCGCCAGCGCAGTCGCCTAGCGATGAGGGGGGCTGGCGCCTAGCATCTTAAAAAATATCTGGCATCATGTCTGGGGACGGGCCGCGCCGGGCCAAGGCCGACCGGGAAGGCTGCCCCGCGCTTCCCCGAACTCCTCGGACACGTCCTGCCGCGGCGGCTCGGCGCGCGCGGCGCGCGCGGCCGCGGGAGCGACGGCGCGGGCGAGGGCGCGGCGGCGGGAAGGCTGGATGAATGCTCGCCATCGCTCGGACGTCCATTCTCCGTACTTTTTTCGGTTTTTTCGGATTCGTGTGCTGTTTCCCCCCCCCCCCCCAGCGTGCTCCCGGATGGGCCTCGCCAAGGAGAAATGCACACGTCCGAACGATGCCAAGAAGGAGGAGGCGGGAGGGCTTGGGACTGCGAGGATGGAAGAAGAAAATAACACCATAAACATAAACTTGTGGCGCGCCTCGCGGATTTGCTCGTTTCTTCTCCAAGTCGTCGTTGTCCTCCTTCTCATCCGCACTCCACCGCATACTCATCCTCCTTATCCTCCTCCCTTCACTTCTTCCTTTCTTCCTTCTCCTCCTCCCTCCTTTCCTATCCGTTTCCCACCCCCTCCACTTCCTTCTGCGTCCTCCTCCTCATCCTCTTCCTCCCCCTCCTCATCCCGTCCGTGCGTCCGTCCGTCCGTCCGTCCGTGCGTGCGTGCGTGCGTCCTCCTCCTCCTCCTCCTCCTCCTCCTCCTCCGTCTATTTCTGGTATTGGTCCTGCCTGCTCCTCCTCCTCCTCCCACTCCTGCTCCCGTCTCTGTCTCCTCCACATCAGCTCGACCGCCCCCGTACTCCCGCAGGCTGACAACGCCTCCTGCTGACAATACCGATGCATCCGGGACTTTGGGCACGGCACGGCACGCGGGCACGGCACGGCACGGGCACAGGCATGCCCGGCACGGAACAGCCGGCACTTTGTTGTCGCATGCTAGAACTCGGAAGACGCGCCTCTCTTACAGGGTCGAAGCTCCGTGGGACATTCGCAGTTTCGGACAACAGAATCGACCTCTGGGGGGCGTCAACACAAGTGTTGGGGATGAGGTGCCTATCCCCGGGAAAGGGTCGAGGCCTCTGGAGAGCCGCACCGTTGAGGGGCAACGACGAGGGGGGACTGGCATAGGGGGGGATGCATCGGCAATAGGCCCCTGATAGTGAATCCGCAGCTTCCTGGGCAGGTTGGGACAATAGGGCCCCTATCGGCGACCAGTTGGCGACTGGGGGTCGATGCACCCCCCCTATGCCTATCCCCCCCTATCGTTGCCTGTGAACCGTGCACAAAACCACGACGTCGGAGGTCTGGGTGGGGCTGCAACGAACGGTGCCCTCCAGGCGGGCGTCCCGGCGCACCTCGCTGCGGAGAGCGACGGTGCACCGCAGGTCGAGGCAATACCACCGCTGGCCAGCCAGCTCCACATTTGCACCGTACGTTCTCGCCGATGTGGCGGCGCGCACAAAGGGGGTATGGGGGAGGGGGGACGGCTTCTTGGAAGGAGGCTGCTTCTCAGGAGACGCAGGCTTTATGCTATAGATAAAGGCCGCGCCTTCTAAGCAGGGGTGCTTCTAAGAAACCTCCCCCCCTCCCCCGCCCTACCCCCCTCTGCGCGTGGCCGACCGTTGCTGGGCCACCTGAGTCCGCGCACCGCGCCACGCGGCTCGGGGGCGACGATGGGGGCGAGTAGCCCAGGGGGGAGCAATCCATGTACCCATACATGCGACGGCCTGACTTTTCCAGTGCAGCGTCCCCGGAAGTCCCGACCCTTTCCCCGGGAGCGTTTTTTTTTGTATTTGTTTTTTTGTTTTTTTTTCTACGACGGCATGGGGGCAATGTACCAAATCTCCACGACACGTGATTTGAACTGCTGGGTATCCCCATGTTGGGCACTAGTGCCAGACTGCACAACTCTGACGCCGTGTGCGCAGCACCGCAGCAGCACGAACAAACCTTGTTGTACAGCTCTGCGCTCGCCGCTGCGGAGTGTGACCGCCTCTTGCCTGACGGCTCGTGCCGACACCGGGGCCCGGCGAAGGTCCCGCAAAATCCGGAAACGGGTGGACCTCCCGTCCTGATTTGTTTATAGCACCTAAATCGCGCAGCGGTTTGGGGGGCAGGAAAATCTCCCAAGGTGACCGGTGCCAAATGGGTGCCTCTTCGCCTTCTGGCCCCTTTGCCTCTTTGCAATGCTCTATGAATGCGCCGTGGAACGCCGTGGGTTGCAAGCGCAACTCCCCTATGCTTCGTTGCCTCCAAGAGGGGGCGTGCGGCTCTGTCTGGGTATCCGGGGGCGCCGACGCTCTGTGCCTCCGGCGAGGCTCCCGGGCGACTGCGAGGCCCCTCGCCCCGCTGCGTCGCCTCGCGAGCGACGTGCGGCTGCCCTCGCGCCCTCGCCGCGCCCCCCCGACCCCGGCGAGGCGCGGCTCTCCGGCCCCAGCGCAGGGCGCGCGCTGCTCCTGGCGCCCACCGCGGGCGACCTGGCCCATCGGCGCAGCGCGGCGTCGCTGCTGACGCCGACCACGACGGCGGGCGACGCACAGCAAGCCGAGCCGTGTCATGGCCGGGCAGGGCAGCTGGACATCCCAACGATCGCGCGAGCACTCTTTTACGTACATGGGCAAGCGACGCATCGCTTTGATGTGTCAGGGTCTGCGGCAGAGGCATCTCGAGCGCGCCACCCTTGACTGAGGTCGGGCATGTCCCCCTGCAGGTGGATTCTGGGAGAAACATCAAAACTAATCAAACAAATATCCCAACAGAGTCAAAAATACTCCAGAAATCGTCCCGCGACTATTTTTTTACTACTTTTGAATATCCCTCCTATAGAGGGACATGCCCGACTGAAACCTTGACCTTCTGAGCTCTGTCCTCGACCCCCGCGGGGATCGAGGAGGGGCGTGCTTTGGGACGCTTGCGAGATGTAGCCCCGACGTGGAGGTCGTGGTTTTTGGTCGCCCGAAGTCTGGACCCCTTCCCCGGGGGCTGGCTTCTCTTCCTGACTACTTTCCAAACAGCCCCACCCTCACCCGAAGGCCCGAATTTCGGGTTAGGGGTACGGGTTCCATATGTGTTTTTTCAATGTTCCCCGCCCCCTCCTACTGGAAATGGAAGCCAAATAGGGGCCTTAGGGGTGGGTTGGGGTGGTTTGGGGGCCGGCTTCTCGTTCAAAGCCGTTTTCTGACGGCCCATGGGCACCGCGGGGGCTCAAGAGGCTGTAGAACTGGCAAACGCATCCCGCCATGCTGCCTCACGATGCGGAGAGGTCAAAGAACAACAAGTCGAGACAACATCACAATGGCGGCGCGCCCGGAACGGGTACGGAAAACATGGATACGATGCCCAACAGCAAATGTGGTCTCAAAGCGACATCGGCCGCTGTTGGACAGGCGGCGTTCTGTCTCGAGTGGGAAACTTCCGCGAAGACACCGACAGCGAATCCTTGTCAACATGGGCAGGGGCGGCTGCTGGTCTTTGTGCCCATTCTTTCCGTACTCATCTAGTTCCTCCAAATCGTAACCCAGACCCCCGACGTCATGATTTTTTCATGACGTCGACCCCCAAAGGTCTCGACCCATTCCCTGGGACCGGTTTCTCGTCCCGAGCAGTCTATTGACGGTCCCTGGGCCCGGCGAAGGCCTCTAGAGGTCGAACACGGCGAAACGCCTCCGTCCTGATTATTGCTTTTTGCGACGCGAGCAGGTATGGGTCGAGCTCCTCCATACCATAGCCAGGCATTATGTTGCTCCCATCGTACTTAAGGATCACATCCCAGAAATAATTTCGAGCACCCAGAAGTGTCGAAAGAGTGTCGAAACAGTGTCGAAAGAGTGCCCCCCAGGGCCCGACACGTGAAAACCCTCAAGTTTTGGGGTCTTGTCTTGGTGCTCGAAATTCATTCTGGTGGTCAAGGCCAAAGCAGGCCGGAACATCATAAGACAGGTAACCCCCCCCTGTCCTGTTTCTCCTTTCCCTCCTCCTCTTCCCCTCCCTCCTCCCCTCTGTCTGCTCTCATTTCTTCTCCATCTCTTCTTGTTTGTTGTTTTCCTCTTCCTCCTCCTCCCTCTCCTCCTCGTTTCCCTCCTCTTCTTCTGCCTCCGCCTCTGCCTCCGCCCTGGGCGCCCGAGCCATCCGGGGCAACTCGGGTCCGGGGCAAGTCGGGTTTGGACTCCCGAGAAACGGAACCCGAGTTGGCCCTGACCCGAGCTACCCCTGACGATTCGGGGCTCTGGACGACGCCCGAGTCATCCGGGGTAAGTCGGGTCCGGGGCAAGTCGGGTTCGGATTCCCGAGAAACGAACCCGAGTTAGCCCTGACCCGAGTTACCCCTGATGATTCGGGGCTCTGCCCGCCCGAGTTATCCGGGGCAACTCGGGTCCGGGGGTAACTCGGGCTTGGATTCCCGAGAAGCGGAACCCGAGTTAGCCCTGACCCGAGTTGCCCCTGACGATTCGGGGCTCCGACCGCCCCCACCTCTGCTCCCGCAGGTGGACGTCCTCGCCGCGTGTCCGTCGACGGGCCCGCCGGGAGGAGGAGGAGGAGGAGGAGGAGGAGGAGGAGGAGGAGGAGAAGGAGGAGGAGGAGGAGGGCCCTGCCCTCCTCCTGCCGCTGCCGCAAAGCCCCACCGCTGGGCGTGCGCGTCGCCGCCCACCCTTTAGGCCCCCGCGGGGCCGCCTCTGCCGCTCGTGCGCGGGGGGCCCCATCGGCCCTCCCGCGGCGCGGAGGTCGAGCAGGCCGCGTGTCGCGCGCGGGTCAGCGCTGAAGGGGCTCTGGGACACGCGAGTAAATAGACACAAATCACAAGATTCCCCATGCTTCCCCGTATTTCCCGTGTTTTCGTCTTGCCCCCCACTTCCTAGATTTTCCTATATATATTCTGGGGAGTCGACGATGAATTGTGTCTGTGTGTTTCCTTCCCTTCTGAAATGCCCGATGTTCCCTGACCTCCTTGCGCCGCGGAAAAAAAAAACACTCTATAGACGGGACATTTCGGTCGCTGTCGGGCCTCGTGGGCCGATCGCCGTGCCCCAGGACCGTCTGAAACCTGCTGGGGAAGAGGGCCGTTTTATTGGTCTCCAAGAAGGGGTCCGGACCTCTCGGGAGCCGCGTTCTGAAAAAAATCACGGCGGCGGATGCCCGGGTCTGGACCTGGGGCCTACTCAAGAACAGCGACGCGCTCTACCAGCAGCAATGAGCTGTGCAATCGCGTGGGGCGGTGCGAGGACATGCAGCTGGATCTCATCATTTGCGCACGTTGCAAAATAATGGCGCAAAACAGGCAGGGGCTGATCTCCAGCTCTTCGCCCCAGGATTCTCCATCGTCCTCCGCGCGGGCCGAGACTCGGTGGGAGGGACACAGAAAGACAACCACAACCACAAGCACAAGCACAAGCCTAAGCACAAGCATGATAACACATACACACAAAGAACTTACTAGCCTTCTGAAGCGGCCCGCCCCTCTCTCTTCCCCCCCTGGCTCGCCGCCGAAAAAAAACACGCGCAGTGACGAATCTGTGCCCGAACATTCGCGCGAATGTGACCGACACTGGCGACCGAAGTTCTTGAACGCGCCAGAAGTGTGACCGAAGTTCTGGAATTGAAACCAAGATTTCCAATTTCGGATGGACTGCGCGTTCGGTCACAATTTCGGGGGCATGTCTGGTCTCCGACGATATTCTGTCACCTACTCTTTCGGCTGATAGGGGGCTCGGCGCCACGAGCGCACCGCAGCAAAAGAAGAGCCTCAGCATTGAGAGTGGCACGGGAAGCGCAAGAGCCCCGCTGACCGGCGGGAAAAGCGGGGGGAGGCGGAGAGGCAAGGGATACGGACGCCGCCGAGCAGTGCCCAGGCGAGGCCCGCAAGCGGCCCGCGCCCTCCGAGAGCGAGCCACAGATGAGCGGAGGGGCTTCGGCAAGAAGCGCCGGGCCCGGAGCGGGAGCGCGGCAGAGGGCGAGGGGGCCAGCACGGAGGAGGCGAACGGGAAGGCGAGGGAGGGTCCTCCCAGCAGGCGACACCAAGCGGAGCCCTCCACCGACGGCCGGCAAGCTGCCCAGACGCACGGGCACAAACGCACGAACCCTTCTTTGCGTCGGCGGCTGTAGGCAGGGGGCGTCTGCGCTGGCGCTGGTTCAGGCCTGAACGGGGATGCCGTGGGAGCGAATTGTGCCACCATGCAGGAGGAGGAGCGGGGGGAGGGCGCGGCCGAAAGAGGCGGACGGAGCGAGCGGCTCAGGGGGGGCAAGTCGTTCCCCGAGCGGCGGCGCGGCCAGCCCCGCCGGCGGGCCCGCGACGGCTGCTGCGATGGCGGGCCAGCGGCGGCGGGGTCCAATGCGGGGATGGCTATCCCGGGTCGAAGGGTGCAAAACGAACAGCATCAGAGCCAGATGGCTGCCCAGCCCGGGCGCGGGCGGAGCCAGTCGAGGCTGCGGCACCAGCAGCGGGCGGCAAGACCGAGCCCAGGGCGGGCGCGGGCGGCGGCTGCCGACGCCCAGGGCGGCAACAGCGCGCGGCCGGCGGCGCCGTGGCGGCGCGAGAGGGAGGGAGAGCGACAAGGGGATGGAACCCGAGTTAGCCCTGACCCGAGTTACCCCTGATGATTCGGGGCTCTGGACGCCCGAGTTATCCGGGGTAACTCGGGTCCGGGGTAACTCGGGTTTGGATCCCCGAAAAACGAACCCGAGTTATCCCTGACCCGAGTTACCCCTGATGATTCGGGGCTCTGAGGAACATCGAACAGGGGAGGAGGGCGCCCCGACCTGGTGGGCCCAGAGGTGGGGCGCCGGGCAGCAGCACGGGCGGCGCGCGCCGCACGGCACGCAGGCCAGCGGGGGGGGCGGGCGCCAGGCACGAAGCGGAGGCGGGCGCGCACGCGCGCGGCAGGCAGGACGGGGAGCCGACGTGGCCGACGGGCCTCGACCGGCAAGGAGGGCCGGACGCACGAGCGACGAGCCCGTCAAATAAGGAGCTGCACCGAAGCGAGAGCGTGGCACCGAACTGGCGCAGGGGAGAGGAGGCACCTGCGCCTCCCTGCGGGCTTTGGGGGGCTCGCAGGAAGAGGGGGAAAGGGCGGCCACCGCAGGAAACGACAGCGCGGCACCGAGCAGGTGCAGTCAAACGCGGGAGCAAGCGCCCCCTAGGGAAGGCCCGCAAAGGAGGGAGGGCGGCCACCGCGGGGGAGGCGGCAGGGGCCCCACCCCTGCAGTGGCGGTAGCACCGAACTGGCGCAGGTCAGCTCAACCGAAGGCAGCGATGGCTGTCCCCCGCCCGGAAGTTGAGCAGGGACCGACCGTCCCGGCATTCCTATAGTCCTACCACGAAATGTTTTTAGAATCCAAAACTGTTCTAATAACAAAAAAATGTTCTTATGACACCCGATGTGTCAAAACAAAACAATCTAAGACAGAAACGTTCTAAGAACACTTCGTGGAAGCCACATAAGGTTCTTAGACCATTGTTTGGTAGGGCTATCGGCGAGCCAGGACGCTTCGCCAGTGCTTGCGGAGGCGCTGGAGAAGTAGTAGGGGGAGGAGGAGGAGGAGGAGAAGGAGGAGGAGGAGGAGGAGGAGAAGAAGGAGGAGGAGGAGGAGGAGGAGGGGGAGGAGGAGGATGGGGAGGAGGAGGAGGAGGAGGAGGAGGAGGAGGGAGGAGGAGGAGGGGGCACGCCTGGGGGGAGCGCGGTGCCCAGCGCAGTCCGAGCGGCCGCGGCGGGCGCGCAGGGGGCAGAGCTGCAGCGGGGCCCGAGGCGCCGCCTCGTTGTGGCAGCGGTGTGCGAGCGGCGGGCAGGGCGAGGCCACGGGAGGGGGGGGCAGGCGCAAGGCTATGTCGGGCGTGTCTGAAGGGGCCCTGGGACACACAAATAAATACACACAAACAACAGGATCCCCCATATTTTCTTATATTTTCTGGGTTTTTGTCTTCCCCCCACTTTCCCATATTTTCCTATATTTTCCTGGGAGTCGACGATTAATTGTGTCTGTGTGTATCTTTCTCTCCTGAGTGCCCCCGTACAGGAGGATTTTCGACGAGAAATAAACCATACCCCAAACATAGCCCCAAAAAGGCCAACACAGATGCTCAGGAGATAGTCCCCAGACCATTGTTGGATTATCTTTAGATTATGTCTGGGGGTACTTTTTGTTTGTCGTCGAAAATCTCCCAGTAGGGGGACAGGCCCGACTTAAGCGCAAGGCGATGCGGTAGCTCAGAGGAAGAGTAAGTGCAAGCGGGTGGGCGTGCTGGGCAAAACGCCCCGCGGGTCGGCGGGGCGCGTGTCGGGCGGCGCGTGGGCGCGGGCGGCTTGGCACGTTGCCCTGGGGCCCTCCGAGCGCCTGATGGATACAAGCACACAAACATACAACTACACGCGCGCACACACACATATACTTGTTGGCGTCGGGGCGGAGGTCAAGCCAGGCGGAAAAACACAAACACACACACACACAAACAACATACAGCACACACAACACACACAACACACACACACACTTTTGTTGGCGGCGTGGCCACGCGCGCAGCTACGCGGCGATGGTAGGCTACCAGCCGAAGAGTGAAGCGCGGGAGCGGCACAGCTCGGAGGCAGCAGGGCGTGCTGGGTGCTCCCATCCCACGCACGCACACACGCGCACACGCGCACACGCGCACACACGCACACTTGTTCCTTGAGCCGCCGGGTGGGTAGCACCAGAGCGTGCAATACGGCAGTGCGCGATGAGTTCAATTACCACCGGGCAGTGCAGATGGAGGGTCAAGGCGAAAACTGACGCATGCAACAAACACGCCCACGCCCGCACCACACACGCGCACGCACGCACAATCCTTTCTTCGGCGACCGCGAGCTCACTGCTCCGCGGTGGATCAGGCGTGCGAGCGCGAGCGAGAGGAGCGGACATACGTAGAGAGCAACAAATCCATCCTCACAGTGAGCACCCTGGCAAGCGCATCCAAGGAAGGAATCGAACAGGGCAGGGCCGTTTAGTAAACGCCCAGGGCCGTTTAGTAAACGCGATGTCGGTAATGGGTTGGTTCTTCCCTCGCTTTAAGACAGGAGGCAGCAGCGACGGAAAGAGAGCGGAGCGCCCCCCCCTCCCCCCCCAACACACACATACACACACACACACACGCACACACACACACACACACGCAATCACGCACACACGCAGACACGCACACACGCACCCACACACACACACACACGCACACACACACACGCACACACGCACACACACACACACACGCACACGCACACGCACACGCACACGCGCACACGCGCACACGCACACGCACACGCACGAGCACACGCACACGCACACGCACTCACGCACACACACACACACTCACGCACGCACGCGCGCGCATACACGCACGCGAGCGCACGCACGCATGACGCAGGCACACGCGCACGCAGACACACGCACACGCACACGCACATACGCACACGCACACACACGCGCACACGCACACGCACACGCACATGCACACGCACATGCACACACACACACACACACACACACGCACACGCACACGCGCACGCACACGCACACACACACACAAGGGCACACGCGCGCATGCGCACACGGCCACACTCGCATACGCGCACACGCGCGCGTGCGCACACACACACACACATGCGCACATACATGCGCACATGCGCACATGCGCACATACGCACATGCGCACATGCGCACATGCGCGCGGCGCCCGCGCCCGTGCCCGCGCACACGCACACAGACGCACACACACACACACACACACGCGCGCACGCACAAAGGAACGCACACACACAGACACACACACACACACGCACACACACACACACACACGCACACGCACAAACGAACGCGCACACACACACATACACACGCACACGCAAACGCGCACCCACGCACACACAAGCACACACACGCACACACACACACACACGCACACACACACACACGCACACACGCACACACACATACACACGCACACACACACGCACACACACGCACACACACGAACACACACACACACACACACGCACACACACACGTACACGCACACACGCACACACGCACACAGACACGGACACAGACAAAGACGTATACACAAAAACATATACGCACAGACAAAGACTCAGGCACAGACAGCGACACAGACACAGGCGCAGACACTGATATATACACAGACAAAGACACAGACACACACACACAACACACACACGCACACGCACACGCACACGCACACGCACACGCACGCTCACGCGCACGCGCACGCGCACGCGCACGCACGCACACGCACACGCACACGCACACAAACTCTCTCTTTCACACACACACACACACAGACACACACACACACACACGCACACGCACACGCACACGCACACGCACACACGCAAACACACACGCACACGCACACGCACACCCACACGCGCACACACACACACACGCACCCGCACGCACACGCACACGCCCTCCCGCACACTCAAGCATGTTATCAGTATGCAGCATGCAGGGAGCAACGCGCGTGTCAATAATGATACAAGGAGGGAGGGAGGAGCGGGGATACTCCGCCACCCCTCATTGAACATGGACGTTACCACGACGCCCACATGCTGCTGTCGAGTCGATGCTCTGGCCTGTTGGCCAACTGTGTGCTATGACCTGCTCCAGAGCGGATGGCCCTGGGGGCTGGGGGCCTGGCAGAAGCCCCAGGGGAGATGAGAATAAGCAACGCACCTGCCATGATTACAGGTATTGAGCGGGGACCGACCGTCCAGGCATTTCTATAGGCCCACCACGACATTTTCTTAGAACAAAAAACAATTTTCCTAGAACATGAACCGGATGTGTTAAAACAAAGCAATATCGGCCAGAAATGTTCTAAGAACATTTTGTGCAACCCACGAAAGGTCCTTAGAACATTCTTTGGTGGGCCTATAGGCGAGCCGGAACGCTTCGCCACTGCTTGAAGATACGCAGCGCAGGTGGCACAGGCGCCCAAGTGCCTCCCCGGCTGCCCAGGCCGCGACCCGGACGCTGACGCAAACGAGAACGCCTCGACCTGCCCGAAAGCCGAAATCAAGCTTGAACATCCGACAAAATGGTGCGACAACAGGAGGGCAAAAACGGCATAAATATAAACTGTTGGATCTGCGCTTGACCCCCTCCCTGGCTCGCGGAGCGCGCCAGGGGCGGCGCGGGAGGCGCCGACAGGGGGCTTCAGCGCATATCCAAGCAATCAGCGCGGAGCGTCGAACGTTTACGTTTACGTATTTCTTGTCCTTCGAGCTTGAGCATCCAGCAACATGACGCGACAAAATGCAGGGTGTTTCCTAAGCCGTCTCCAAAGCTCAGCACGAGCCGACGACTGCAAGGCAGACCTCCTCGAGAAGGCCAGCGACGCCGACGAAGCACGCGGGGCTGTTCAGGCACCGTGGGGCTCTGTCTGGGAGGCTGCAGTCATCGCGCTACCGTCAGGAAAGACGAAGAAGGCACGAAGGGGCAAGAGTGAAGGGGCCCCAGGACACACAAATAAATACACACAAATAAAACTATTCCCCATATCTTCCTATATTGTTGGGTTTTTTGTCTTCCCCCCCACCTCCCATATTTTCCCATATTTTCCTGGGAGTCGACGACTAATTGTGTCTGTGTGTTTTTGTTCCCTCCTGAAAGAGGGCCCAAGAGGCCAACACAAATCCTCCCCAGAGGCTCCCCAGAGCCATCCGAAGAGACCAAGAAGTATCCCTGAGGACTCTGGCCCACGTCAGCGTCGTCGACGTCGCTGCCGCTGTCGTCGTCGTCGTCGTCCCCATTCAGAGTCCGCGGCGCCGGCCGTAAGGCCTTCGCGATAAGCAACGGGCGGGCGTTTCTGAACTAGGGTTAAGTCGGGCCTGTCCTCCTGCAGGGGGATTTTGGACGAAAACTAAAGAATAGTCAAACACACCCCAACATGGTGAAAAAGTATCAAAAGCATCGCCCCCAGACTGTTTTTTCACTGTTTTTGGAAATTCCCCCTGTAGAGGGACAGGCCCGACGTAAAACTAGGGGACTGGGGAACGCCGAGGAAGGAACGCCGGAAAGCTCGCTGTGCGCCGCTCGCTCTGAGATCCGCCGGCCCCCGCTCGCCTGGAGCGAAGAGGCGTGTGAGACATCTGGCCTTCCCTTCTGCCGCCACGGAGTCGCGAACGCGCCCCCGGGGCCTCCAGAGCCTCCGAAGAGCCCAGGACGGCCCCAGAGAGCCAGGCCAGAACGCCGAGGCAGTGCAAGATGGCGTCGAGAGGGCGCAGGGTAGCCCCACGGCGGCCCCAGAGGGCTTCAAGACGGCCAACGAGGCGCCCAAGACTGCCTTAGAATGCTCTAGGAGGACCGCCCAGAGGGCCCCACGAAGCACACGTCGTCCCATTCCCTGTGCGAAGCTCGTCTTCACAGCGTCCACGACGGCCCAAGGGGCCCCCAAGATCGTCCCAAGACGGCCGATGATGCCCCCCCAAAAAACCCACGACGGCCCCCCAAACACCCACCGGGGCCTTCAGACGGCCCAAGAGGGCACTAAGAGGCGCCAAAGAGGGGGCGACGGCGGGCCATACGATCTAAGATGTCGAACTATCCCCCCAACGTGGCCCCGAAAGTGCCTCAGAGGCCCCTGAGACGCCGCCAACAGGCCCCGAGAAGCCTCCGAGAAACCGCCCAAGACGCGCCAAGAGGCCCAAAAAGGCAAAAAGGCCTCAACGACGCCCCCCGCCATAAGCCCTTTCAAGCCATCCAAGACGTCACCGACAGGCATCCGGAGGGACCGTCTGATGCATCCGACAAGAGAAGCCTTCCACGAGCGTAAACTCTCACTCCTTCTGGGGGTCGGCGGAATGGCGCAAGCCACTTGACTAACCTTGCCCTTGCCCGCGGGCCCTCCCGCCCTCATCCTCCAACCCCCGAACCCCTGCACGCCCTCCTCCTCCTCCTCTGCCTCCTCCTGCAGCCTACCCCGGACTCCTGCACCTTCTCTTCCTGCTTCTGCAGCCCTCCTCCACCTCCTCCTTCCGCAACCTTCCGTACTCCCCACCTCTTTCGCCTCCTCCTCCTCCTCCTGCAACATTCCGCACTCCCCCCCCTGGGACCCTCCTTCCACCCCTCCAGCCTCCTGAGACCCTCCCTCGCCTGCAGCCTTCCCTCCTGCCCAGACATCCGATGTCGTGATCTTGTGGCCCAGCGTGGCTCCTCAGAGGGCTGGGCCCTGGCCCCAGGCCCCCGACGTAATGATTTGTTTCGTTACGCCGACCCCCCGAGGTCCCGACCCTTTCCCCACGACCGGCTTTGCATCCTGGGTCGTTGTTTGACGCTCCCCAGGCCCGGCGAAGGCCCCCGGAGGCCAAAAATGATGAAAAGCCTTCCGTCATGACTGTTTCCTTTCTCGAGGGGGTCTGGGGCTCCTCCTCCCGAGCCCTCTTCAAGGCCCCGGGGGCCGGCGGGGGCCTCTGGAGGCCGACATAAAAAGATCAAGCATCTTCCGTAGTAGATTTTGCTCGACGACGCGAGGAGGCAAGGGCTCCCACCTTCGCGCTGCGCGCTGCGCGAAGTGCGAATCACCTCGCGCTCTCGCACCGCCTCCCAAGGGAGAAGGGGAGGAGGAGGAGGAGGAATCGGAGCCAAACCGCGAAGCGCGAAAAACTTCTGCCCCCTCGAGGGCGCCCTTGGCAGTGATGTTTGTCCGACCACGCGAGGAGGTCAGGGCACTGCAGCCTTCGCCCCCCCCCTCGCCGCAGCCTGGCTGATGACGAGGCCGTTGCCGGCCCCCAGCTGGCCGTCGTTCCTCGCTCGGCCGGGAGGGGCTCGGGAGGCGCTGACGCTGCGTCGTGCGCCGAGGAGGAGGAGGAGGAGGAGGAGGAGGAGGAGGAGGAGGAGAGGAGGAGGAGGAGGAGGAGGAGGAGGAGGAGGAGGAGGGAGGAGGAGGAGGAGGAGGAGGAGGAGGAGGAGGAGGAGGAGGAGGAGGAGGAGGAGGAGAGGAGGAGGGAGGAGGAGGGGGAGGAGGAGGAGGAGGAGGAGGAGGAGGAGGAGGAGAGGAGGAGAGGAGGAGGGAGGAGGAGGAGGAGGAGGAGGAGGGGAGGAGGGAGAGGAGGAGGAGGAGGAGGAGGAGGAGGGGGAGGAGGAGGAGGAGGAGGGAGAGGAGGAGGAGGAGGAGGAAGAGGAGGAGGAGGAGGAGGAGGCAGGAGCTGTCACCATCGAGTCGCTAGGTTTGACCGCATCGATACGGATTCGGAATCGAATCAGATCGGCCACTTCAGGATGCACAACTATAAGCCGTGCAAGCATCGGGCCGCATCGGATCCTCCGAACCTCTAGGTCGAATTGAATCGGATCGAGCAGGGCGACATGTATCGAATCGGATCGGCCAAATCGGGATGGCCGTGAGGCGTCAGAGCATGACGAGGACAAGGATAGGGGAAGTACCCGAGACGTGCCCAACGCCTGCTACGCGCGAGGCAACTATTTGTGTGAACGCTCCATACAACAGAACCCATCGCGAGGTATGCATGATATGCGATGCCCTGCACTCCGCCGTGCCCACTAGGAACCCACGGAAGTGGCGACCTTTGCACAGTTCGCAGCCCCCCAGGGAGCCGCGAGGCCTCGAAGTGATCCGCACTGGCCCTGCACTTCGCCGTGCCTCTCAGGAGCTCACGAAAGGGACGACAAATGCGCAGTTCGCAGCCCCCGAGGGAGCAGCGTGGCCCCAGCTGAACCTGCACTACCTTGCGCTCCGCCGTGCCGTCCAGGAGCCCACGAACGTGGCGACAAGTGCGCAGTTCGCAGCATCCCCCAAGGAGCAGCGAGGTCTCGAAGTCAACTGCGATGCCCTGCGCTCCGCCGTGCCGCCCAGGAGGTGGCGACAAGGGCGCAGTTCGCAGCCCCCACCCCCCAAGGAGCAGCGAGGTCTCGAAGTCATCTGCGATGCCCTGCGCTCCGCCGTGCCTCCCAGGAGTCCACGAAAGTGGCGACAAGTGCGCACAGTTCGCAGCCCCCGAGGGAGCCGAGAGGTCTCGAAGTGATCCCAGTGCCGTGCCCCACAGGAGCCCACGAAAATGGCGAGCCGACGGAGAGGGCGAGGATTGCCATTGCGCATGTCGCCCGAGGCTCCGCGAGGCCTCGGCTAGACCACCCACTGGACCTCCCAGGAGCCCACGAACGTGGCGACAAGTGCGCAGTTCGCAGCCACCCCAGGGAATTGCGAGGTCCCAAGTGGATCTGCGTGCCCCCCCCACTCCGCTGGACCTCCCAGGAGCCCACGAAAGTGGCGACAAGTGCGCAGTCCGTAACTTCCTCAGGAAACATCGAGGTACCGTCCCAATCTGCGTGGCCGCCTTTCAGGAGCCCACGAAAGTGGCAACGAGTGCGCGTTTCGCAGCCCCCCAGTAGGTAGGAAAGGGCAAGGATGGAGGAGGCAGAGGGAGGGGGAGGACTAGAATACCACAGCGCTCTGATGAAAACGAGAGATCGACACAAGAAAGTCGGGAACAAACATGAACTTATACCGCGTCTCGCTGGACCTCTCCCGGGGGCGCGTTCTGACCAACGCCTCGGGGCGGATCTGGCCGTGGCGACCGAGCGACGGGCAGCGGTATCGGAATCGTTCTCCCCTCCCCCGAGAGGCGTGGCGGAGGTTGGAGGCGAAGACCGACGACGCCGCACGCATGCAGGCCGTGCCGCAGCCCTGTTGCGGAAAACGAGGCCTCTCACGGAGTCGCTGGCGGACGTGCCGGTGCTGGAGCTCCTCCTCCTCCTCCTCCTCCTCGCCAGTCGGAATGACTCATATTCAGTTTTGTTCCACAGCTGCCGCTTTGCAATTTCCCATCTGCGACGATGTCAAATCACGGGCTCGTAAAGGTTACTGCCTTGCCCTGCTGTTGCCATCCCGAAGGGGGGCCTCGCCGGATGCCGTCGAGTTCCTGGTCGCCTGCGCGACCGCCAGCAACCTGCAGGGCTTTTACCTCGCGTTCGTGTGTGACAACTGAGTTTCCGTACGTGCGTGCGTGTGAATGTGTGCGTGTGTGTGTGTGTGTGTGCTCCGCGGCCGTCGCTATAGCCCCGGCGCTGCCCCTGCCGCGGCCTGGCCCCGCTCTGAGCGGGCCCAGTCTCCCCTCCTTCCCGCCCGTGCCGGGCCTCCTCTTCTTCCCCATGTGCATCGCGGTTCAACTCGAATCTGCATGCCCTGCACGTGCTCTTGCCGCCAGCGCAGTCACTCTGCCTAGCCGCCGACGCCAAATATATGTGTGTGTGTGTGTCGCCTGTCACCGCGGCAGCTGACCAGAGTCTATACCGGCCGGCCCACGTGGGCGGCTCAGGGGCACCAGAGGCCCGAGCGCAGGCGACCCCCAGATCACCGAACGGACAAACGAGTAGACACACTCAATCCTGTGTGAGTGTGCGGGTGTTGCTGCGGCCGCCACCCCGCTGCCCCCGCGCTGCCCCTGCCGCGGCCTGGCCCCGCTCTGAGCGGGCCCGGCCTCCCCTCCTTCTCGCCCGTGTCGGGCTTCCCCCTCCTCCTTCTCTTGCATCGTGGCTTAGTTCGCATCTGTATGCCCTACTCATGCCCCGTCTGCCAGCGCAGTCACTCTGCCGAGCCGCCGCCGCAAAAGTGTGTGCGTGTGTGCATGTCGCTACCCGGTGTACCCGCCCTGGCAGGCTTTTTTCGATGGTCGGTACGCCCTCGCAGTCGGGCTGCGTCGACTCCGCTTGCACCTCGTCTGCAGCAGAGATGGGGGGCACGGAAGGGTAGGAAAGGGTACAGGTGGGGAACGGCCCGACTTGTACCAACCATCCGACAGGACAAACAACCACCCAACATAATCCAGCACGGCGAACAATAATGGTAAAATAATTCCAGGAGGGTAAGAGAGGAGGGAGGAGGGGAGGATGACTAAGAGGAGGAGGAGGAGGAGCAAGAGGGGGAACAGGACCAGCAGAGGAGTAGGAGCGAGCCAAAGCGAGGGAGAGCGGAGAGAGAGGAGAAGGGGAGGAGGAAGAGGAGGAGGAAGAAGAGGAGGAGCAGGAGCAGGAGGAGGAGAGATGGTATGGTATGGTATGGGTTGGCCCTGAAGGAGGGAGAGGAGGAGGAGGAGGAGGAAGAGGAGGAGGAGAAGAAGGAAGATGAAGAGGAGGAGGAAAGGGAGGAGGACGAGGAGGACAAGGACGAGGCCAGGGCGAACCGGGGGACGCACAGCGTTCTCTGCTAGGCAGGAGCTCTTTGGGGGGCAGCAGGACCGAAGACCTCCTGCGGTGCGCCGTCACCCTCTGCCTTCGTGCTCTGGCTCGCCCGGCTGTGCCCGGCCGGCCCCTGCATTAACCAGGCCGCGGCGCCAGCTCTTCTGGCTGTGCTCGGTTATCTCCTGCAGTTGCGTGGCCGCGGCGGCATCTTCCACGCGCGCGCTCGCCGCCGCGCGGTACTGCAGGCGACTGCCACCGTCCAGTCCACCCATCTGGGGTCAGAGCGCCTTCGGCGCGCGGTGGCTGCCCGCGACGGGGGTCGATGTGGGGCTGTCGGCGGGGGTGACGCCCCCCCGAAGCTTATAAGAAACTCGGAGTAGGGAAAGGGGGGTGCGAAATCTGCTGCATGCAGCTGATTTCCGCCCAGACGCCAGGCCCATTCCTCGATTCATGTGCGCCTGCCACAGGAGCCATGGAAAACCAGCCACGTGAGCTGATTCATTACCCTGCCCCCTGCTACAGGGCTCGACCTAATGACCTAAAGAGTGTTCATCGTCTTCGTTTTGTCTGCGTGTTCCCTCGTTTTGTCCTGAATCCGCATGTGCTGCAAAACGAAATCGAAACGAACACGGCCAACGAAATCGCCCAAACACCGTTTAGGTCGACCCCAGCTCTGCTGTCCTACACGTCGGTCGGAATAAGTAGGGAATAACATGCAGTAGGAAGGCGGATAAAGTAGCTTGGGCCCAGGCCCTCCCAGAGAATAACAACACACAACAGAAGCATATCAATTCTTGAAGGCGCTTGGGATCTGGGAGTCCAGAAACACCCGGTGTGTACCCCTTCTCGGCGGCGAGCCGAGGAGGGAAGTGAGAAGGAGAAGGCTTTCTCAGACAGCTCGGAAGTCCCCCCTTCCCCGAAGACACAGAAAACTTCTCAGAAGGCGCGAGGGCTTCTGAGAAGTCCCGCCGCCTTCTGAGAAGGCGTTCTTCTTTTCACTTCCCCCCGGGGCGCGCCGCCGAATTTGGTTTTTGGGTCATAGCTCAGGTCTCTGGCGGGCGTTCGGGACGATCCGGGCGCCCCCGGAACGCTCTCGGCGAGGCGCAGCTGCTGGCAAGCACCCCGGGGCTGGAAAACCGCCGATCAACAACGAAAGCGCCTGGAAACCCGGCACCTCGAATCTCGAGCCTCGAAGTTCCCGCCCCCTCGCTCGCCGCCGACCTTGAGTTTCTCGATGCTCTCCTTTTCACTTCCCCCCTCCGCTGCCGCTCTCCCCAGAGCGGCCCCCAAGGCCAACTGCCCCTGCGCCGCCCGGATCACTTCCGAGTGCGGCGGGCGGCGCTTCCTGGCCCGGGCCCGGGTCCGGCGACAGTGACAACGACGACGACGACGCCGACGACGACGACGACGGCGGCGGCGGCGACGACGACGGGACGTGCGCGCCCAACCACGTACATGAATACGGCAGGCTCGTGCGGCGACGGAGCGCGCAGAGGTTTGTGTCGCCGCGTCCATCGTTCAATCTTGAACCGATCGCAGCCCCGATCGATCAAGGTTGAATTCCGTCGGGTCCAAAGGCGTCACCGTGTCCCTCAGTGCCTCCGCATCGCAGAAATCGACCTTGAACGCCTTCGCTAGCGTCGCTGGCGCGCCAACGCCGCATGAGCCTACCGTACGGCCCTCCAGTCTGCGAGACCAGCCTCGTGATACGAACGTTCGCGCAAGGCGTGCTTTCGAAACCACAATGGAATCCATGTACGTGTGCGTCCTTCTTTCGCTCCTGAAAGGGGGTCGACTCCTTCGTGCCCCCAGGCAGGCAAGACGCCGACCTGGGGGCCCAACTCCGAGAGGGGCCTAGCTGCTAATCCCGAAAGGTCTTGAGTCTTGCTCTCCTCCCGTGTGTTTCTCTCGGCGGGGAATAAGGCTCGTCCCTCCTCCTCCTCCTCCTCCTCCTCCTGCTCCTCCTCCTCCCCCCTGTCCTGTTCCTCCTCGTCCTCCTCCTCCTCCTCCTCCTCCTTCTCCTCCTCCTCCTCCTCCCCCTGTCCTGTTCCTCCTCGTCCTCCTCCTCCTCCTCCTCCTCCTCCTCCTCCTCCCCTGTCCCCCTCGTCCCCCTCCTCCTCCTCCTCCTCCTCCTCCTCCTCTCCTCTCTTCCCCCCTGTCCTGCTCCTCCTCCTGCTCCTCCTCCTCCTCCTCCTCCTCCTTTTCCTCCTCCTCCCTGTCCTCCTCCTCTTTCTCCTCCTCCTCCTCTTCCTCCTCCTCCTCGGCACGGCCCTGCATCGACCCGATGGCCCCAGCCTGCACAGGAAGGTGCGAATTCACTATCGGGGGCCTATCGCTGATCTATCGGCAATGCAGCGCCGATTCCAGGTCGATGCATCCCCCCTTACGCCAGTCCCCCCGTGTCGTCAGGTCGGGCATGCCCCCCTACAGGCAGATTTTGAAAGGAACAACAAACCAGAGTCTAAACATCTGCAAGCATGGTCACACAATGTTAGAAACATCGTCCCCAGACTATGCTGTTACTAGATTGGAATCTTCCCCCTGTAGAGGGACATGCCCGACTGAACCCTATCGTTGCCCCTCGCGTTCTGACTCGTGTTCCTGGTGAGCCCACCGCCGCCGCCGCCGCCCGCACGCGCCCATCGTTTCGCACAGGGGGGGCACGCGGCTCGGAGAACATCCCTGCGGCCAGAAGCGGAAGCGAGGAGTCCAGGATGCAGCAGGGCTCGCCCTGAACGGTACTTTCCGCCTTCGCACTGCTTTCGTTGTCCTTCGTTCCGTCCTCGTTCTGCCTCCGCTTCTGCCTCCGCTGCGAAACGGAGTCAAACGACAACGGCCCACGACATCGCCCCACCGCCGCGTAGCTTTACGTCGGGCGTGTTCCCCTACAAGCGGATTTTGGAGGACAAATAAAACATACAGTCGGCCTTGATTGGACAGGACACGCGAGAGGACACAAGACCCTTCCGAGGGCCACATTGCCATAGAAATGCAGAAGGTACAGGTCGCGAGACACAGGACACAAAGGTACCCTTGATTTGGCAGGGTCGACCTACTAATCCGGGCCGACTGCACCCCAGAAAAATGCTAAAAATAGTCAAACCAACAAAAAATCGTCCCCAGACTATTGTTGGACCATTCTTGCATATTCCTCCTGTAGAGGGACGTGCCCGCCTTCAGCTCAGCTCGGGCCCTGGGAGGCAAAGCAAAGGGGCAACACCAAAGACCTGTCCGAGCGCTGTTGCGGGAACGGGGCTTCTGCTCTGGACCACGTGGAGGAGGAGGGAAGAGGAAAGGGAGGAGGAGGAGGAGGAGGAGGAGGAGGAGGAGAAGAAGGAGCAGGAGGAGGAGGGAGGAGGAGGGAGGAGGAAGAGGAGGAGGAAGAGGAGGAGGAGCAGGCGGAGGAGGAGGGAGGAGGGAGGGAGGAGGCGGGAGGAAGAGGAGGGAGATGGGAGGAGGGAGGAGGAGGGAGGAGGGAGGAGGAGGAGGAGGAGGAGGAGGAGGAGGAGCAGGCGGAGGAGGAGGGAGGAGGAGGGAGGAAGGAGGAGGGAGGAGGAGGAGGAGGAGGAGGAGGAGAAGAAGGAGCAGGAGGAGGAGCAGGAGGAGCAGGAGGAGGAGGAGGAGGGAGGAGGGCGGTCCGAGGAGGACCCTCGTCGGCAGAGGCGCGCGGGGCCGGAGAGGGGGCTGCGGGGCCCGAGCTCGTGCTTCGCGTAGACGAGCGCCACCTGCGGGAGCCGGCGGCCGGCGGCCGGGGCCCGGGCCCCCCCCGCGCCGCGACACGGGCACGACGGACAACTGCTGGCCATGGACAGTAGGAGGAGGAGGAGGAGGAGGAGGAGGAGGAGGAGGAGGAGGCGGAGAGGAGGAGGAGGAGGAGGAGGAGGGCCTCCTCCTCCGGGCCCTCCTCCTCCTCCGGGCCTCCCCGCGCCGCGACGCGGGCACGACGGACAACTGCTGGCCACGCTCGTTCGGGGAACTTCTGACCCGGGTCAACAGAATCCTGCAAGAACCTGCGAGATCCTGCCCGCAGGCCCGGGCCAATGCGAAAAATCCTGCGAGATGCCGCAGGATCCTGCGCCCAAGCCCGGGTCAGTGCGACCCTGGCCTCTGCAAGATCCTGCAGAGTCCGGCGCTCTGGCTGACCCCCGTTTGCACTGGCCCTTTTTTGTGTCACTCAAGCGACCTCGGGTCCTACCTCTACCGTGTAGAAGGGACCTGTCAAAACCAGCTGGGGCCCTCACCCCGAAGGCTCACCGGGGTCGGATGCTGACCCTCACACCGACACCCCCGCATTCTCGCAAGCAGCTGAAGTATCAACCACTACGTGCCTGCCCGAAAATACTCCACAATGTTATCACTTCGTGCCCCGAACGTGCACGTCAGCAAGATAACTCGCACAACGGAAGGTCTTTGGTCACTTTCGGCCGCAGGGGAGCCTCACCAGCCCCCTGGGGTGCTCAAAGGCGACTCAAAAGCCGGTCCCCGAGAAGGCGTCCAGACGTCTTGAAGCCACACGGCGAAAAAACAGGACCTCGGATGTATGGGCTGATCCCCTCCTCCAACACCTCCACCGCCTCCCCTGCCTCGCTGCTACCTCCCTCCCTGTAATTATATAACTCGGCTGGAACTGCCCTGGATCCACTCAGATCCCCCTCTCCCTCTGTCCCAGGATGCCTCTCGACTGGCACGTCCAGGCTGGAAACCAACCGACAAGCGGCGACGCCGACAAACAAAAAGGTGAGCATCGGTTAACCGTGTTTAGACTCATCTGCGTCCACTCCAGACCTGGCCCGTGGACGGAAGACATGCAGATCTGGATGTGTAGTGCCTCGCAATCATGAGTAGGCCAAAAGACATGATAAATCATGCGACTGAGCGAGGAATCCCACCAGCCCTTGAGGGCGTGAGCGGTTTAGTGAGATGATTATTCCGATCCCCCTGCTTCCCCTTCGGGGAGGGGCGTGGAGGGTAGTTTCGCGAGACGTTGGAGGGTCCAAGATGGCCTCGGCGAGGAAGGCAACATCATTGGTTTTACAAGAAGGTTTTGGCCACATTTCGGCCTGTTGGTTGGTGGGGGCTCCAATGGGGTAGATCCCCTCCTATGATCGACATCCTCGAAGATTGCCCCAAGATGGTCCCCAAGGCTCCCAAGGGTGCCCAACATGCCCCCAAGAGGCTCCCGAAAGGCCCCCAAGACGCCCCAAGCGGCCTCCAAAAGGCACTCACAACGCCCCAATAGGCCTCGGCATGAAGGCCAACATCGCTGATGTTGCCAAGGTTTTGGCCACATTTGGGCTTCCTGGACGGGGGACCCTGATTAAGGACCCCCCCTCCTTTGATCGATCCTTTCCAGATTGCCCCAAGATGGCCCCACAAGTCTCCCAAGAGTGCCCCAAGACGGCCCTTCGGTGCCCAGGAGGCCCCAAGAGGCGCCCAAGAGGCGCTCACCACGCCGTCAGGAAGCTCCCGAGAGACCCCCAGAGAGGCCCCAAGAGGCCGCCCCCAGAGGCACCCAAGACGCTCAAAGAGGCCTCGTAGGAAAGCCCAGCACCATTGATTGTACGAAGGTGTTGGCCACATTTCGGTCTCCTGGGGGAGGGGACCCTCAGTAAGGAGCCCCCCTCCTTTGATCGATCTCTTTCAAAATGAACTCAAGATGGCCCCCGAAGCTCCCAAGGGTGCCCCAAGACGGCCCCAAGGTGCCCAGGAGGCCGCAAGAGGCCCCCACGATGCCCCCAAGATGCCCCGAAGAGACCCCCAAGAGGCCAAGAGGCCCCCCCCCAGATGCACCTAAGACGCCTCACGAGGCCCCCAGGACTGCCAAGAGACCCCCAAGGCGTCCCAAGAGGACCCCAACAAACTCTTGAAATGAATCCGAAGAGACTCCGAGAAGCATCCAAAAGGCATCAGGCCTTTCTCCTCCTCCTCCTCGTCCTCCTCCTCCCCCTGCTCTTCCTCCGATTCCTCCTCCGATTCCTCCTCCATCCTCCCCTCTTGGGGTGCGACGCCTTACCCAGCGTTTTATTACACTGCGTTCTCCTCCACAGCCCCGATCAAGGCAACCCGTCTGGGCATCGCTTCTGATGGGGATGAGAGTGTAGAATATGAAGTTACAGGCGAAGCGTCTAGATTATGAGGTGAGTTTCTGATTGCATGTGGAGAAGCTGCACGTTGTCTTTACGGGCTCCGAATCAGACCTCAGAGCAGATTCATCGTCGGGCTGCTATTCAAGTTTACTTAGTCCTCGTGGAAAAGGACAGACCTCTGTGCTAATGCTGGTGTCGACTTGGCAGGCGAGCATCGCTATGACGCGTCGATGAACAACATGGCTGCAACAAACTCCTTGCCCCCCCCTCTTCCTGCTAATCTATCATCCTTTTCCGTCACATGCCTACTGATCACTCACCGTGAACAGCCTCGGCCTAATCCGACTCTGGAGATGCCAAAAACAAAGAACCCTCGGGCGGAGCGATATTGTGCCCCCTCTTGCTACTAAGTTATCTTCCTCTTCCGTCACATGCCTGCTGATCATTCAGTGTGAACGGCAAAGGACAGACACGACTCTTGAGGCGCCTAAAGCAAGGAACCTTTGGTGTGAGGGAACAGGAGAGAAGTTGACAGGGTGAAGGGAGTTGGGGAGGCTCGTCCCATGATTTGAATACGGCCAGACCTAGGACAGAAGAACACCCTTCAAGAACATGAGACCCTCCGCTTGCCAAAACACCCCAAGACTATAGATCATTCGAGGGTGCACTCCCCTAGGATGCGCAAGAAAACACGCAGAACATCCTAGGGTACCCTCCCCAAGATACACAACACCGTCCAACAGACACAAACAACACTATGGTGCCCTTCCGGAGCCGACATCAATCTTACACATCGGTCCGACCGCAATGGATTGGATGGAGGAGAGGCACAATGCAAGGAACGCATATGCCGCCTCGCCGGAGGTCATTGCAATGGGGTACGGGTTGCCCACCTGCGGCAGTGGACCCCACCTCTATAATTAGGTCGGGCATGCCCCCCTACAGGCGGTTTCTGGACGAAACAACAACACCCCAAACATTCAAACATTATCAAACATATTCCATAAAGTTGTCGAAACATCGTCCCCAGACTATTGTTTGACTGTTTTTGAATGTTCCTCCTGTAGAGGGGCAGGCCCGACTTAACTCTAGAATTGCCTATACCGATCCTGGCCAGGCCCATCCTGGGCCCAAGATCGACATGGAAAGGATCGACGTAGGTATCTAGATGGCGTCCCCATGAAGAAGAGATGCCACAACACGCGCTGCATGACGTCCATAGCAACATAACCCCACACAGGCCGTTAAATCACTGTACGCAGTCGCGCCGTGTCCCACATGATCCATACAATGCTTGCCGCTACCTGAAGCTCTGGCCAGCCAGGCTAAATGCACATTGAAACCCTGGGTAAATCGAGGAGGGAAGAAGGAAATCAGTCGATCCTTGAAGTGGGAAGGCGCCAAACATAGATTGGGATCTGGGAGTCCATAAATACCTACCTTCAACGACCGATGGGTATACACGGAAGAACAAAACATCTGAGACATCTTCATGCACTTCAATGTTCGGAGGTCCGGGCGGATTCCTTGGAGCGGCGCTGAACATCTCTTCCTGGCGCGCGGAGCGCGCCAGGGGCGGCGGCAGAGGCGCCGACAGGGAGTCCCTAGCGCCGATCCAAAGAGTCCGAGCGGAGCTCCGAAACTTGAGTGCTCATGGAGCTTTTTTTTTTTTTCTCTCTCTCTCTCTCTCTCTCTCTCATATTTAGAGAGCAGGAAAGCCACCCTCGTGTGAATCATCCCGACAATCATATCCGCTTAGTGAACGCACCCGAGGAAGGGATCGAGCAGGGCTGGCTGTTTACAAAAAGCGCCCAGGGCACTTCGGCAATCGCCAATCATGGGGGTCGGGAAGGCTCTCCCACCCTTGATTCTTCGGACGGGCCCGTGCCTTGTTTCCTTGGCGCCCGCGCGCATCCACATCTCCGACGACGGCGCGCGGAGACCCGCTCGGCCCGCTCGCCTCCCCTCGCCCGTCGAGACCGCTGCGGCCAGCAAGCCCGACCCGTTCGCGAGGGCCCGCCCGCGAGGGCCGTGCCGCCCCGCGCCCTCCAGCTCAGCTTCCCCGAAAATCTTGGCGCGGCGACTTCTTCACAACCGCCAGACTCGCCTTGCTTCGGGGCCTGGGACCCTCACGGATCGATCGGGCTCGAAAGACGAGGCAGGCGGAGGGGGTCCACGGAGCTCCGGTGGTGACTCTTGACGGGGATGCCTCCTTTCTGCGCGCGCCGTCGGGCCTCAGGCTCTGCGCCGCCAACCTCTGTCCGTGTCCGGGGTCATGTCTTTGGGACTCGGGGAGCGCTGGATCCGGATCCCGCCAGTGCTGGCGGGCAGATATCTCGATCCACCACTCCTCCTCCTCCTCCTCCTCCTCCTCCTCCTCCTCCTCCTTCTTGTTTTCAGGGCACGACCTCGACGCGGTGGATATGGACATACTCTGGCGGCGAAGCCTGGCCGGCGGGCACCAGGCGTAGCATCGGCCGGCCCATACCCTTCCTCGGGGAGAGCGTAATAACAGAACCCGCAAGCGCAAGCACTGGTTCGGGAACTTGGCCTCGAGAGCAGATCGCCACCGCTACCGATAAAGGGACATGGACAGGTGACCACGGATATCAAGATGCACAAACAATACAGATGATGAGAAATCCCACCAGCACTCTGGGCGTAGACAGAAGAAACGAGGGTCCCTGAGGAATAGCCAATCAAGGGGATCACATGCTGGAAGCACCTGCAGGTGGCAGGCGAGTGGGGATGAGTTCGAACAGGGCGGACACGTTCAATCCTGTGATCTAGATATCCGCCGCATCGCCTGGAGGCACTTTAGACAAGCGCGTTCCAATACCCGCGAAATAACTGGTCGCAAATGGCCTGGATCCGCCGCGGGGGATCTACGATCCATTACACAGGAGGCAGACACCCGGTTTTCAGACTTTTGCGAGTGGGCACGTTGCGAGCAGTGGAGCGAGCTCGGTGACACTTGGTGGGCTGTCATCAGGTCCCCAAGAATCCTCAACCCTGAATGCTGAACCTATGAATGCTCTTCTACCGACTACACGCAAGAGTGACCCTGGAAAAGGGTGACCTTCAGTGCGCGGTGCATTGGGGGCCGCGGGGGGACCAAACGCGAGCGCGCACGACGCTAATACCGCATCGCGTTCGGCGATCGGGGGGCCCCAGTGTTGAGCAGGGACCAACCGTCCCGGCATTCCTATAGTCATACCACGACATGTTCTTAGAACCCAGAAGTGTTCTCAGAACAAAAACAATGTTCTTAGAACAGAAGCCCGACGTGTTAAAACAAGACAGGCTCCGCCAGGCATGTTCTAGGAGCATTCCGTGGACACCACACAAAGTTCTCAGAGCACTGCTTGGTTCGGGCTGGGCGAAAAGGGGGGATACCAACGGGGGGGTTTGAGAATCAGCTTGCATAGCTGATTTTCTCGGCGCCTCCCGGCGCCGGAGGCGGTGATGTATCGAGGAATGGGCCCCTCGGTGGGGCCAGAGCCAGCTGCATGCAGCAGATTTCGTAACCCCCCTTTCCCAATCCCCGCCTTTCGTCCAGCCCGATTGGTGCGACTACGAGCGAGCCGGGACGCTTCGCCACTGCCTGACACTGGGCCCGCACTCAAGCTCACTCCGGCGAGAAGGTCTCTTTTACGTGTCGTCGATTCCAGGGGCCGAGACACCAAGCTGCCTGGAGGGCAAGGCGTGCCTCCGGGGGAAGTCGCGCGACTCCCCCGAGGCTGGAGGGCGTCACGGCGGGCGACGAGGGTCCGAAGCCCCGATAGGTTGAACAATTTTGCAGCGCCGGGATGTGTGGCACGAGGAGGCCCATTGCGCCCACCTCCTCCTCCTCCTCCTCCTCCTCCTCCTCCTCCTCCTCCTCCTCCTCCTCCACCTCCCCTATCCCCCTCCACCTGACCCTCCACCTCCTCCTCGCCCTCCTCCTCGCCCTCCTCCTCGCCCTCCTCCTTCTCCTCCTCCTCCTCGCCCTCCTCCTTGCCCTCCTACTCGCCCGCCCCCCCCCGTCACTTCCTGAGAATTCCGCCCCGGACGTGAGGCCACGAACCCGCTAAAGTAAGAATGGGTGCGCGCTCCCGATGCCGCGAACCCTCGTGAACTCCTCCCTCCTCCTCCTCCTCCTCCCACCTCCTCCTCCTCTCTCCTCCTCCCCTCCTCTCTTCATCCTCCTCCTCCCTCCTCCCACCTCCCACCTCCTCCTCCTCCTCCTCCTCCTCCTCCTCCTCCTCCTCCTCCTCTAAGGTGGAAGCGAGCTCGGGAGGCCACCACATGACATCAATTACTGCATCTGTGCGCAACCCGCCGGCTACAATCCACTCAAACCAGCTGCCAACCATCTGTTTAGGCAAGAAGCAAGTAAACCGGATTGCCAGCCAGCCATTAGCAACCAACCGAACACGCGTAGCCTAGGGGGATGGGCTGGTGAAGACCATTAGTATACACATATAGGGAATCAAATACATCGGGTATCTCTCTATATATTTATGTACATATATGTAGAGAGATACTTGCACAAACACGTTAGCCAAATGGTGAAGAAACCATGTCTGGAACAGCCCCAACTACCATACCTGTAAAGGCCGGCCGGGGCTGGAAATAACCGGAACAGGTGACGTGTGACATGCTGCCCAGAACTGCTGGGAGGGGGGACGATGGGATAAATTGCCAGGGCTGCCGAGGATATGGTCGCAGGATGTTACAGGACGCTTCAAGGTATTGCAAAGCGAGGAGTCCCGCGGGCGGCCTTGTGGTTCAGGCCTCCAGCAACGACCAGCAAGCTGGACCACGTCCTCGCCCTCCCCATTTTCGAGAACGAAGAACGCTATACCATCAACTTCTCCGCCATCTGGGAGGCTGGTCCCAGGGCGGCTGGGAAATCTATGCCCCGACGTGCCACCGTAAGGCATGAACTTTCCAGTTGGCCTGGGACAAAGGTCCTCCGTGGTGGGACAAAACGATGTGGAGCCGCTCTTTGTCTGCTAACCTTTCTCCGCCCCGCGTGGGTTGTCCAACCGAAGCCCTTGAACCGCAAATTGATCGAGCTTGGTCCAAAGGCCCGGGTCGGAACGTGCACGGGATCAAGCCGGCGTCGGTCCTGCAAGCAAGAACTGGCCGCGCTGGGTGCACAACTGCGCCGCGCATCGGGCCACGTGGGAGCGTCGGAAATTCGATGTCGAATCGGGTCGAAATAAGCGAAATCGACATCGAGTCGGACCGATCAAGCCGAAATTTGCCCCGCAATGCCCAATCCTGGCCAGCCAAGCCTCGGCAGAGCGCGCCTTTTGCCAACCTCGCACCCCCTGCTGTCCTCACCATTTCCGTGTCGCCTCGCCCTCATTGCATCTGCTCTTCGATTGAAAAATGTGACTGGGGGGCGCTATGCGTGTATGTACATATGTATGTGTACACACACGCTTACACATACAATTACGTAGAACCGCATACGCAAACGTCTGTACATACATGCGCGAACGCGCACGTATGAACAACTGCGTATACATATACACTTACATTTATATCCGCCGGCCTCCCTGTGCCAGTTGCAGTCTCCAGCATCCACTGTTACAATCCTGGTTTCTGCTTCCATATTGTTATTTTTCCTGAACACGCGAGGGGGGGGAACCCCAACCCAGCTTTCTTACCACGCCCAGATCGCGTTGTCTGAATTCCTGAACGGGGGGGGGCGTGGGACGCATAAACATAAGTGTTTTCGAATCCCCGAAGCGATAATCCATATCAAATTACGCCATACTCGCGCTCCCGAGGCCATATGCCCATGTAGGTTACCCGATACTCGCGCCCCCGAACCCCCATACTTCTGAAATATCTGCGTCCCCGAAGCCATACATCCTGGAACATGATGCGGTATTCGCACCCCCGAAGCCATAAACCCATGTACATTAATTCAGATTCGCGCCCCCGAAACCATACACCTTCAAAACTGATTCAGTATTCGCGCCCCCAGAGCCATACACCTTTCTTACATTTCAATGTAGGTTACAATGTGCATGTCCGTCAGGATCCAAAAAACACATGGGAGTTGCCACATTTCTGACATTCGGTGGCACCCCTCACGCAGATCGGCGGGGTCAGGGTCCAAGAACATATGGGATTTGCCACATTTCCAATAATTCGGTGGCACCTCTCACGCAGATCGGCGGGGTCAGGGTTCAAAAACACACAAAGGAATCGCCGCATATATGAAAATCCGGTGGCACCTCCCGCGCAGATCGGCAGGGTCAGGGTCAAACAATGAAATGTGCATCATATCTGAAATCCGGCGGCACCCCTCACGCAGATCGGCAGGGTCAGGGTCCAAAAACACAGGGGATTTGCCACATTTCAGAAATTCGGCGGCACCCCTTATGCAGATTCGTAGGGTCAGGGTCCAAAAACACATGGGATGTGCAACATGTCTGAAACCCGGCGAAACCCCCCACGCAGATCCGTAGGGTCACGGTCGAAAAATTACGCTACCGAAGAGCCCCACATACCTAGTTTAAGTCGCGTGTGTTCGCAGACCCTCGCCGCCCATCTGAACCATTGCAGTCTTCATCGCCAAACATGGAGGTGGCAGCGCATCCGCGGCGATTTTGGGATGCATGGCTGCCGCGCAGGTCGGGCGGTGCTCTGAACTCTGGTGTCGAGAAAGTGCCACGCCTGCCATGCCTGGACGACCGCCGCGCATAGCGGCCGAGCTCAGGGACCACCCCCTGCGCACCCCCTCTGGTGTCGAGAAAGTGCCACGCCTGCTGTGCCTGGACGACCGTCGTGCATAGCGGCCGCGCTCAGGGACCACCCCCTGCGCACCCCCTCTGGTGTCGAGAAAGTGCCACGCCTGCTGTGCCTGGACGACCGTCGTGCATAGCGGCCGCGCTCAGGGACCACCCCCTGCGCACCCCCTTCTGGTGTCGAGAAAGTGCCACGCCTGCTGTGTTGACGACCGTCGCCGGTTCTCAGGGACCCCCCCTGCGCACCCCCTCTGGTGTCGAGAAAGTGCCACGCCTGCTATGCCTGGACGACCGTCGTGTACGCCGCGCTGGACCACCCCCTGCTCACCCCCTATGGTTGTCGTCCATGCCTGGACGACCGGCGTCATAGCTCCGAGCTCAGGGACCACCCCTGCGCACCCCCTGTGGCGTCGAGAAAGTGTCACGCCTGCTATGCCTGGACGACCGTCGCGCATAGCGGCCGAGCTCAGGGACCACCCCCTGCGCACCCCCTGTGCTGTCGAGAAAATGCCACGCCTGCTGTGCCTGGACGACCGTCGTGCAAAGCGGGCCGCGCTCAGGGACCACGCCCTGCGCACCCCCTGTGGTGTCGAGCAAATGCCACGCCTGCTGTGCCTGGACGACCGTCGTGCATAGCAACCGAGATCAGGGACCACCCCTTTGCGCACCCCCTTCTGGTGTCGAGACAGTGCCACGTCTGCTGTGCCTGGACGACCGTCGTGCATAGCGGCCGCGCTCAGAGACCACCCCTCTGCGCACCCCCTCTGGTGTCGAGAAAGTGCCAAGCCTGGTGTGCCTGGACGACCGTCGTGCATAGCGGCCGAGCTCAGGGACCACCCCCTGCGCACCCTCTGTGGTGTCGAGTGCAAGCGAGAAGGAGAAGGGGAGGGGGAGAGGTGAGGAGACGCGGGTGCGCCGCGGCAGGGAAGAAAACCAGAACCCCACGAAACATGTGGGGAACAAACAAGTCCCGACACTGCTTCACGGCGGCGCCCACACCTCATGATTTAGCTTTTGCATCTCCCATTATCCGAGACAGGGGTCCGGCGGCATGGGGCGAAGCCCTTACGGATATATACACAGAACCACGCGCGCGCTAGGCACGCGCTTAAGTTCTAGTCGCAAATGAGCCACGGTCGCCACTGTAAGCCCCGCTGTGGTCACAACGACGATTTCCAGCGTTCTCGGGCCCATGCCATCGACGCAAAGAAACGCGTAGACAGAACGCTCTCGCTCTGCCGGGGCCGCCCTTGAGGGGTGGGAAGGGGAACGTAATGTTTGAAATGATAGGGTATAGCGATGCCCCGCTCGCTTTGGCGGAGCCTGTCTGGCACTTTGGCGGGGCCGTCCCAGGAGAGGAGGGAGGAGCACGAAAGCTGAGGGGTGAGACATGGGGAAGGGGCGGGAGGGAAGGAGGGACGGAGGGGGGAGGCCCAGGACATCTGGCTTGGAACGCCCTGGGGCCTCCCGATCCCGCTCTGTGGCCCAACTTGGGCCTGTCCTGGGGCTCTCTTGGGCCGTCTGGGGCTCCTCGGGTGCAATTGTCGGGTTCCATGGGGCCGTCTTGGGGCTCTTTTGGGTGCCTCTTCGGCGGTCTCGGGGCGGTCTTGGGGGCGTCTGCGGCCGTCGTGGAGCATTGGAAGCTCGAGAACGCGAGAAAGCAAAAAACATCGAACAAACCTATGCAACTCAATGATTTGGGCCTCTTTGGGCTCTCTCGGGACATCTCTCGGAGCTCTCTTGGGCCCTCTTGGAGGCCTCTTGGGCTGTGTGTTTGCCGTCTTGAGCTCCTCTTGGGCCACGTTGGAATCATCTCAGCCGTCCTGGAGCGCCCTGGGGCCTCCCGCTCCCGCTCTGGGGCCCAACTTGGGCCTGTCCTGGGGCTCTCTGGGGCAATATTGGGCTGCTCTTGGGCAGTCTTCAGGCTCTCTGGGGCCGTCTTGGTGCTCTTTTTGGAGCCTCTCGGCGGTCTTGGGGCGATCTTCGAGGTGTCTTTGGCCGTCTTGGAGCGTTGGATGCTCGAGAACGCGAGAAAACAACACACATTAGAACAAAAACCACCAGAAATCAAAGATATGGGCCTCTTCGGGCTCTCTCGGGACGCCTCTCGGAGCTCTCTTGAGCCCTCTTGGAGGGCTAGTGGGCAGTGTATTGGCCGTGTTGTGCCCATCTGGGGCCACGTTGGAGCCATCTGGGCCATCTTGGAGCGCCCTGGGGCCTCCCGCTCCCGCTCTGGGGCCCAACTTGGGCCTGTCCTGGGGCTCTCTTGGGCCGTCTGGGGCTCCTCCGGGGCAATTTTCGGGCTCCCTGGGGCCGTCTTGGGGCTCTGTTGGGGGCCTGTTCGGCGGTCTTGGGGCGGTCTTGGGGGCGTCGTCGGCCGTCGTGGAGCGTCGGAGGACTCGAAAGCGCGAGACACCGAAAAACATAAAACAAAAAAACTATGAAAATCAAGGATTGGGCCTCTTCGGGCTCTCTCGGGGCACCTCTCGGAACTCTTTTGAAGCCTCTTGGGCTGTGCATTTGCGGTCTGGAGCCCCTCTGGGGCCACGTTGGGGCCATCTGGGCTGTCTTGGAGGGGCTGGTCGAAGCTCCCCGGGGGCTCCTGGGAGCGTCTTGAAACTCTCTGGGGCAGTCTGCGGGCTCCACGGCCCCACTGGGGTGCTCTGGGAGCGGTTTCGGAGGCCCCGGTCCCCCCATGCGCGCTCCACAGGTCGTGGCCTCAGGCGGCCTCTTGCGCGGGTATGTTTGTGTGTTGTATATATATATATATAATATATCTATATATATATATATATATATATTAGTCACACATCTGTGTATTCCTATTCCTATAGTCTTGCCAGCCCGGGCGGGGGGACCCCCCCCAAAAACCGAACTCCAGGGATCTGGGGTTTTGGGACCCTCTGGACGGGCCTCGAAGCGGCCCCCCGAGTCTCGCAGGACGTTCTGCTAAGCCTTCCCAGCACACCTAGGGCGATCAGGGGGGTCATCGGAGACGTCCCAGAGACCCCCAAGACAGCACAAGAGCGCTCCAAGAGTAACCGACGTGACCTCAAGAT